CGTCGACGACTTGGTCTTTGCTACTGCTGACACTGTTGGACTCGCCCACGTGAAGTCCGAGCTGCAGAAGAGACACACGTGCACAGACCTGGGTGAACTGCGCAGCTACCTTGGCTTGCAGATCACTCGGGACAGAGCACAACGCACCATTACCCTGACTCAGTCACACATGGTGCAACAGGTCCTTCAGCGCTTTTACTTCACGTACTCCTCGCCTCAGGCCACTCCTCTGTCTACTCGCCACTCGCTCTCAGCTTTTCCTTCGGATGAGTCCGTAGAGCTGAGTGGCCCGTACCCAAAGCTTGTTGGCTGCCTCATGTACCTGATGACCTGCACACGACCTGACCTTGCATACCCTCTTAGCATCTTGGCACGCTATGTTGCTCCTGGGAGACACCGACTAGAGCACATGGCTGCAGCGAAGAGGGTGTTGCGCTACTTGTGCAGTACGTCGGGCATGGGGCTAGTGCTTGGAGGGCGACGTCGAGTGGTCCTCACAGGTCACGTAGACGCTTCTTGGGCTGACGACCAGGCTACGCAGCGGTCGTCACAGGGTTACACCTTCAGCCTTGGCTCCGGCTCTGTTTCGTGGGAGTCTACCCGCTCGACTTCTGTTCTCGGCTCCGGCTGTGAGGCTGAGATCTACGCGGGGGCCATGGCTGCTCAAGAGCTACGCTGGCTCACCTACTTGCTGACTGACCTAGGAGAGCTGCCTCGTTCTCCTCCAGTTCTGTACGTAGACAACAAGGCCATGCTGGCCTTGTGTCGGGAGCACAGACTGGAGCACAGAACGAAGCACATTGCTCTTCGCTACTTCCTTGCTCATGAGCTGCAGCAGCGTGGTCAGCTGCGCCTTGCTTACGTGGCCTTTGAGGCCAACACTGCTGATATCTTTACCAAGGCACTTCCGCCTGGTAATCATCAGCGCTTATGTACGATGCTAGGTCTTCTGCCTATTTGGCCTCACTTGCTCACTTCTTGACCTCGCTTGTACTGTGATCTTTCTATATCTGCACTTACCTGTTTACCTTTATGTATGATCTTGCATGTGAACTGGCCTTTTGGCCTTGCTCTTGTGCTCGGATTGTGCGGTGACGTTGTGATCCACCCTGAGCTTGCTTTGCTTTGCTTGACTGGTCTTGTGACCTCTTGTTCTCCCCCACTTTGCCTATGGGGGTGTGTCAAACTCATATGCTATAGTCTGTGTAGGCTGTAGTGGGGTAGACAATATGGGGTACAACAGTTCTAGGTTTTCCTACTTGTACCCACCTGCTTGCTAGTTCATTCATTCCTCATTTCTTCACAGAACCCTCCTCCCATGTACATCACGCTCTACTTCATCGTCACCCGCCTCCCTCACTCTCTTAGCGCAGTCAGGGACCTCCTCCTCGCCGTTGACCCCACAGACCTCACTGTCGACCTGCTCGAGAAGCACCTCCTTGCAACTAAGACCAACATAGTCGCTGTACGCGCTTCTCGTGGCACTCCTCATACTCCCTTCTTTTAGGGGTGTTCCCCCTCCCCCCTTGTCCTCTCTGTCGCTTCTGCTTCTGCTGTTGACTTCTTTCGTGCTGAGGAGGTCAAGGCTGCGTCTGCTCCTAGTGGGAGACGCAGTAGCGGCAGGGGCAAGGGAGTGTTAAATAAACTAGAATGTAAGGGCCTAGGCTTAGGAGCCTAGGCCCAACTTAGGTGTCGAGTGAGTTGGGCCCAAGGGTGAGGGGATCGAGAAAGTTGAAAGATGAAAAGTGGGTTTCACTATAGGTTCAAGGAACATATAGTATAGGAAACAAAAGGGTGCACCACCTAACAAAGTTTGCAATAACTACACTAACTACAGCTACAGGCAGTTACAAATATAATTAATATAAAGTCTGACACTCCCCCATAACTGCCTGCAGCAGAAGTTTGTGCAGAACACAACTTGCAGGGGTACACAAGCAACACAAGCAAGATATAAACCAAGCAACAGCAGGTACAGCAGGCGGGCAGACACTAACTGGTCACCCCCTCCATCACCTCACCCTCCTCCCTCCCCTCCCCCACACTGCTGCTGGAGCAGCAGAGAGGGGGGGGAGAGAGGAGAGGTGGAGGGACGGCTGCTGGTTGCCTCACACCCGCCACCGCGATGCCACTCCCCCTGCTCCCCCACACCCTCACACCCTCCCCCCCAGCGGCAGCTGCAGCAGCGGGAACAAAAGGAGGAGGAGGGGAAGGGAAGGATACGGCCCAGCACTCTAACACCCGCCACCCCCATACCCTCCCCCCCACGGCTGCAGGGAGACGAAGGAGGAGGGGGGGGGCGGGAAGAAAGCCGGGGCAGGTAGGTCAGGGGCGGCTGCAGGGAATGCAGGTGCGGAGAGCACCGTCGCAGGCGCCAGGGGCGGGTCCGCGGCGGCTCAAGGGCACCGCCGCGGGCGCCAGGGGCGGGTCCGCGATGGCGCAGGGCACCGCCGCGGGCGCCAGAGCCGGGTCCGCGGGCGCCAAGGGCACCGCCGCGGGCGCCAAAGGCGGGTCCGCGACGGCAAGGGGCACCGCCGCGGGCGCCAGAGGCGGGTCCGCGGGCGCCAAGAGCACCGCCGCGGGCGCCAAAGGCGGGTCCGCGACGGCAAAGGGCACCGCCGCGGGCGCCAGAGGCGGGTCCGCGGGCGCCAAGAGCACCGCCGCGGGCGCCAAAGGCGGGTCCGCGACGGCAAAGGGCACCGCCACGGGCGCGAGAGGCGGGTCCGCGGGCGCCAAGAGCACCGCCGCGGGCGCCAAAGGGGGCGGGTCCGCGACGGGTAGGAAAGAAAAACGTCACGCGCCCGAGGCGCGTAACCAGAAATACAGCAGCGGAAGCATTGGGCGGGCCCACAGGCCAGGACGAAACTGCTCTGATAACCATGTTAAATAAACTAGAATGTAAGGGCCTAGGCTTAGGAGCCTAGGCCCAACTTAGGTGTCGAGTGAGTTGGGCCCAAGGGTGAGGGGATCGAGAAAGTTGAAAGATGAAAAGTGGGTTTCACTATAGGTTCAAGGAACATATAGTATAGGAAACAAAAGGGTGCACCACCTAACAAAGTTTGCAATAACTACACTAACTACAGCTACAGGCAGTTACAAATATAATTAATATAAAGTCTGACAGGGAGGCCAGGGTGGTGGGGGTGGCAGCGGTGGAGGCGGTGGTGGGGGCGGTGGAGGCGGTGGAGGTGGCGGTGGTGGCGGTGGGAGTGGTGGTGGAAGTGTAGGCGTTGGTGGCAGCGGTGGTGGCGGCGGTGGTGGCGGCGGTGGTGGCAGTGGTGGCGGTAGTGGGAGCAGTGGCAGAAGCAGTGGTGGCGGTCGGGGTGGAGCTGTTCAGAGGGGAGATTCTGGAAGTGGCCAGAGGCAGCAGCATCAGCGTCCAAGCGAGACCCCTTCGCGTAGCAGCTTCGTGAGTCGTTTGCTCAACGTGGGGCGCCTGGGGGTAGTTTTCGCTACCCATATGTCACTTGCACAGGTGGTCACACTGGTCAGACATGCGGAAAGCCTCACACCCAGTATCGTTGCTTCTCCCGCCTTGTCGACGCCTTTTGCGCAGAGTTTCCCGACGCGACTGAGCTCCCCCGCTGGGCAGAGCTGCTTAGGTAGGGTGTGGATATCTTTGCTCTTGATTATGATGCTATCTTTACTGCCATGTATTCATTGACTGTTAGTGCTGAGGGTGACTGTTACCTGTATATACCTCCCGACCCTGGTATAGAGGCTGCTGCTCTAGGTGCTAGTGAGTCTGTGACGGGGTGGAGAAAGCGGGGGATGAGAGAATGGGTCAGCCGATCCCGGACGAGGATGAAGAGATGAAGGGGGAAGAGGGGGTATACACCCATCTCAAGCCCCTGGAAAAAGGGTACAACATGAAGGACCCCAGGCTGAAGGATCTCAAGAGGCGGACGGAAGCCGACAGCCGATGAGATTTGGAGGTTCCTCAAGGTGATGTCATGGCAGTGTGCCATACCGTGGTTGTTGATTAAAGCGACGCGGCAGATGTGGCGGGAGGTGCGGGGAAGGAGGGCAGCGCCAGTAATGGCGGGGCAGACGCGGGGGGTGGTGCAGCGGGGGGGTAGTGCTAGGGAAGGGTGGGAGGCAGGCGCAGCGGGGCACATTGGCGATGCCCCCCCTTGTCAGCCGTTTGTGCCGGTCCAACAAACGCCTCCGCTCCTGTCGCCATGCGAGGCGCGGCCTTAGTAGTGCCTTGTTTGTACTTGCTGAAGCCCCAATCGAGCTATACACATCTGTTGCCATGGCCCTATGTGGAAGCCCATGCCGCCGTGCATCGTGCAACTCCTGTAGGTGCAGGCGTTCCCATGCTGCCAAAGCCCTTTCCACCCCCATGTCACCTGGCGGCTGCCATGCCCTTCGATTCCACGAGAGTCTAGTGCGCCCACCAGCAGTGAAGGTGCGTGCGGGCAATCGGACGACGTCTACTGGTTTTCCGAGGGGTTGTGTAGGTTCGTATCAGCCTCTAACTGTTCGTGCCCCATGATTTGTAGAATGATAGTAATATTGGGTTACATCTGTACGAAATCTTTGTATCAGAGGGTGTTTTAAAGAATGCTATAGGTGCTCATGTACACCAGAAGGTATATCATGACTACTATTCATTCTCCATCCTCGGTAACTCGAAATACCAATCTTGCGGCTGAGGATCAACAGCGCCTGATCGCCAATTCACAAGGAATCCCTGTCACCATCCACCAGCAACACGCTATGATGCCCTTATCCGCGTTTTTGGTTGGATTGGGCTTTGCGTGCTCTGCTGCTTGTGGGGGAGACAAGCCAACAAACAATAAGAGGAGCTCGCAGCTCCTTAGTGCTCCCTTTGCCTCGCAGGACTGCTGCAGGCTTCTGTTCTGTCCGGCAAGGTTGTAGTAACTAATAAGCTCCGGCCGTCGCGGGAGCTTCTGGTGTTCGTATCTCAAGTCGCGGGTAGCTTGTATACATAAAATCTGAAAGAATCTTAGTACTGCCAATACTGTAGATACGGCATGGCGGATCGGTTGACGCGTATTGCGATCGTGAGCGGCGATCGCTGCAAGCCAAAGAAGTGTCGGCAGGAGTGCAAGAAGAGTTGCCCAGTCGTCAAGACTGGTACCGCCATCGCCGTCCCACCCCCTCTCTCTTTCACCATCGTTATTTCTCCTATTCTCGTTAGATTTACGATTCCGATCCTTAGTTCCTCGGGTGACCGTTTGAGCTTCTCAGAATTCCCCTTCCGTTTCGTCTACTAGTTACATTTACGAGTCGGGTTACGGTTTCCCTCGGGTATTGCAACTAGTCCTCCTCTTACGACCCGTCAGCGATATATCCTCAGTTTCGCGCTATCAGTTTCGACTTAACCTTGTCTTTGGTTTCGTCTCAACGTCGACACTGTATTTGTTCCGATTTTTTTTTTCTCAGCCTCGCGTGCTCGGTCATCCCATCCGTATGCCATTTGTTTCCGACCCGTTCTTCCTTATTCTTGACTCGTTGACTCGTTAATTGGTCGACCCGTTGACTTGTTAATCCGTTGACTCGTTGACTTGCTTGTCACAGGCAAGCTATGCATCGAGGTCGGCTCCACATCCAAAATCGCCTTCATTTCCGAAGAGCTCTGCATCGGTTGCGGTATCTGCGTCAAGGTGAGTACTTGCGTGAATAAACCCCTTCCCAGCTCTGCGTGTCCCGCGAAGGTATCTTCCATTCGTTGAAGCTGACCGACTCGCATTTCCTCGGTATTGCCGGCCGGGGCTCAAGTGTGTGCGCGACCACTGTGTGCTGCGTGGTGGCAGAAATGTCCGTTCGACGCCATTGAAATCATCAATCTGCCCAAGGACCTCGATAAGGACACCACTCACCGCTACGGCCCCAACACCTTCAAGCTCCACAGGTGACGCCAGAATTTCGCGGTTTAAGGGTCTAGAGTGACGTCAGAGTTAGCAGCTGCAGATTACACTTGTGCCAGTCCCCCGTTGCTTCATAGGCTAGGTGGGCTCCGCGGCCGCCCAGCATTCGACGTCCTAGCGTTGCAGGTTGTTACGCTGTAGACGAGATCGAGCCGTTGCTTTGCTGGGTGTAGAGTAGAGTAGAGCACGGAATATCGCCTAGCACGTCTAGCGTGTGCGCAGTGTTGGCGATTACGCGTGGTGGTTCGCCGAGGTTACGATCCAGAGACAGCATTCTACGCTGATAGCGCACTTGCAAGTCTTGCCAGTTTCACGTGTGGTGGTCCGCCCAGGAGGCCCGCGCGACGTCCTCAGGCTAGGGTTAGGTCGACCATTGGCAGCAGAGCTAGGGTGTACTGAGGTCATGTGCTGCAGTCTTCACATACCACACTCAATTTTCTCTCACTCTCACTCCCTTGAGGGCCCGTCAGGGTCTGCCCCTGCACTCGACTCGAGCCCATCACAGTAGAGACGCCTTATCGTGGCGAGCTTCGCCTTCATGCCAGCGTTAGGCTTACGGAATGTCGCGAGCAGCTGCCCCAGTCTTGTCTAGCTTCGAGCAGGGTTCAGGGTTTTACGCATCACCTCGCCTGGGTTCTTGACGTTCTCAGTCATCGGCCCGTCTCATGTATCCGTCCTCGTGTCAGCCGCACATGATCTTAGCCAATAATCCGCTCAGCCCCCAAGTACACATTCGATGTCCTAGACAAGGCTGATAGGCTCTCAATGCTAGCACCTTTTTAGTCCTCAGAATCGCTGACAACCGATCTTCCCGCCTTGTGCCCCATCACCACCGCTGCAGGCTGCCAGTGCCGCGGCCAGCCCAGGTGCTGGGTCTGATGGGCGCGAATGGCATTGGCAAGTCAACGGCGCTCAAGGTGCTGGCAGGGCTGATGGACCGCCTGTGCCAGCCGCAATTGAACTCAATCCCCCACCCTACCCCCTTCGTGTCCCCCACTCCCAACGCCTGCTTCTCAGGCTGCCAGTGCCGCGGCCAGGCCAGGTGCTGGGTCTGGTGGGCACGAATGGCATTGGCAAGTCAACGGCACTCAAGGTGCTGGCAGGGAAGCTCAAACCCAACCTCGGGCGATTCAGTGTGAGCACCCAGCCGCCCATTCCCTCCTCTCAATTCAATTCGCACGTCCATTCCCTCTTCTCCCTTCAATCCTCGCCCTTTTTTCTTTCTCGTATCAATCAACGTAGCTGCTCCTAATTGAACCCCTTCCTTTTTCCCCTCCACCCACTCCGTTTCTCCCTCTCCCCTTGCATACACACCCCCACCCCCCTTCCCTCCCCCCCAAATGTCTCTCCTCCCTTCCCTCCCCCCCAAATGTCTTTCCTCCCTTCCCTGTCAGTCTTATAATTACCCCACGTTTGGCACATAGAACCCCCTTACTGTCTGGAGGTTTTGATGTACTTTTGAAAGTCGGAGCTGCTTGACTACCTGTGAAAGGCCTCAGAAAATAGCGATGTCTTCCCCTCCCCCCATGCGTGTACCTCCCTTCCCCCAGAACCCCCCTGACTGGCAAGATGTTTTGACCGCATCCGCCCTAGCTGCAAGTTTGCCGTAATTGTCTGTCTCATCCCCTCCAAATCCTCCCCCCGCCCATATATGTGCTACCCCATTATGTGCTGCCCTGCCCGTTCTGTGTGCAGAATCCCCCTGACTGGCAGGAGATTCTGACCTACTTCCGAGGTTAGGAGGAGCTGTATAATGTGCCATCAGCTTATTCCGCACATTTCTCCGCCCCTGTGTGCCATGCTTGCTGTGCGTGCAGAACCCCCCTGACTGGCAGGAGATTCTGACCTACTTCCGAGGGTCGGAGCTTCAGAACTACTTCACTCGCATTCTGGAGGATAACCTGAAGGTGGGTGGGGTGCAGTGCAAAGGGGTATGCAGGTTGGGTCTGACACTGGTTTTGGGTCTGATGCAGGCTGAGCTGCAAAACTGTGTCACTAGCTTATTGAAAGAGAACACTCAAGGTGGGATGTGGTGCAAGAGAGGCATGCAGGTTTGCGTGCAAATGAGTGGGCTGCGACCGAAGGGGTTGATGGTCAAGGTGATCGAATCAAGTCGCTCGTTGTGCACCGTCGTTGCTTCCTCTCCCTTCTCCCCAACGCACTGGTGCGTGTCCCATCCCATTCTCCCTCCCCCCTGCTCTTCCCCCTGGTCCTCAGGCCATCATCAAGCCACAGTACGTGGACCACATTCCCAAGGCGGTGAAGGGGCTGGTGGGCGTGGTGCAGACAGAGAAGGTTTCTTTGAGACACCAATGTAACGCTGCTGCCCTGTCCACCGTGCTCCCCTTTCCCCGCCCCTAACATCCCAGGCCATCATCAAGCCACAGTACGTGGACCACATTCCCAAGGCGGTCAAGGGGGTGGTGGGCGTGGTGCTGACAGACGTGGGGTTTCTGATGGTGCCAAGAATGGATCTCGTGACCCCCCCCGTTCTCATTTTCCTCCCTCCCTGCACCCCGCACCCCCCTTTCTGCAGGCCATCATCAAGCCACAGTACGTGGATCACATTCCCAAGGCGGTGAAGGGGTTGGTGGGCGTGGTGCTCACAGAGAAGGACGAGCGTGATGCCAAGGAGGAGCTGTCGGACGTGCTGGAGCTCAAACAGGTGCGACGGGGTTCAGAGTGGTGAGAGGGGGTTCAAGGAAGGAGGTGCGAGTGGAGGCAGGGCTGTTAGGCTGCTTGGCGTGGGAGGAGCATGAAGGAAGGCGGTGAAGGGGGTGGTGGGTGTGGTGCTCACAGAGAAGGGTGCAGAAAGAGGCGGTAGGGGGAAAAACATTGATCGGTTTGCCATCAGGGCCAACGAGCTAGTCTTGCACACCCCCATCTGGTTGCACTTCCCCCGTCTAATTCCTTCCTCTTCGCCTTCCTCCCTTTTCCCCTTCCCTCGTCCAGGTGTGGGAGCGTGAGGTGGAGCACGTGTCCGGAGGAGAGCTGCAGCGCTTTGCCATTGGAGTGGTGGGGGTGCAGCTGGGAGACATCTACATGTTCGATGAGCCCTCTCCTCTTCCCCACCTAATCACCTATCCTCATCCCGATTCACCACTCCTTTCAGGTGTGGGAGCGTGAGGTGGAGCATCTGTCAGGAGGCGAGCTGCAGCGGTTTGCCATTGGAGTGGTGGCGGGGCAGCTGGGAGACATCTACATGTTTGATGAGCCTTCCAGCTACCTGGACGTGCGGCAGCGATTGAAGGCAGCGCAGGTCATCCGCTCGCTGCTGCGCCCCGACAGGTATGGTCAGTGGTCCGAACAGGTGCGATCAATGGTTGGTGGATAGAGCAAGGGAAAGAGGGATTCAAATAGCTGGTCATAGCTGGTCATTTGTTTCATATTCCTATTCAATGTTCAAGTATTTAAACACTGTTGGATTTGATTCAAATAGCTGGTCATTCGGTTACATATTGACTCCCTTAGTAAGTTCTTGAACCCCTCGAAGGGAGTCAATATGTAACCGAATAACAAGCTAGTTGAACCAAATCCATTAGTGCTAAAATACTTGAACATCGAATAGGAATATGAAACCAGTGGTACGATATTGTTACACCACTGCCCTTTCCCTTGCTCCCTTTCATTCCCCCATTCCTCCATGCATCCCCCACCGTTCCAGATACGTGATTGTGGTGGAGCGTGACCTGAGTGTGCTCGACTATCTCTCCCACTTCATGTGCTGCCTCTACGGCAAGCCAGGGGCATACAGGGCGGTTTTTCTGCGCTATCACCCCATGCACCCACTGCCCTGCCCACTCACTCCCCATTCCATCATCCCCATCCCCCCCCAGATACGTCATTGTGGTGGAGCACGATCTCAGTGTGCTCGACTATCTCTCGGACTTCATCTGCTGCCTCTACGGCAAGCCCGGTGCCTACGGGGTGGTCACGCTGCCCTTCTCCGTGCGAGAGGGCATCAACATCTTCCTGGCTGGCTTCGTGCCAACCGAGAACCTGCGCTTCCGAGACGAGTCGCTCACATTCAGGGTGAGTCTGCCGTGAGGGTGTCACCGTGTCCGTCGGGACATCAAAATTTTCATATTGCAGGCACACCTTTAGAATTCAATCAGCAGTGCGAGGGGGCATCAACATCTTCCTTGCCGGCTTTGTTCTGACCGAGAACCTGCGCTTCCGAGACGAGCCGCTCACCTTCAGGGTGAGTCTGCTTTAGGTGTTGACTTGAAAGAGGGGAATTTTGTGTTTCTCTGTGCTCGAGGGAATGAACATCTTTCTTGCCGGCTTCATACCAGCTGGAAACCTGCGTTTTCAAGACGAGTCGCTCACCTTCCGTGTGGGTCTGCTTGTCTGTCGCTCCTCTTTGTGAATGGATGTTTCTTCCTTGCCTCAGTTTCCAACTTCGTTAGATAGGGCATGAGCATATTTTTTTTTCATCTTTTGAGCCGACTTAAGACACAAAAGTCGACTCAGAAGTCAGACCCACATTTTTGAGAGGAAAAGCTCATTCATTTTCAGAGTTGGAAGAAACGGACGAGGCCAAGACATATACTTGGTACAAGTACCCACGCATGATCAAGAAGCAGGGCGTGTTGAAGCTCTCTGTGTGCTGTCTCAGGTTCCTCAAAGCACTCCTTTCCTCCCCTCCACTCCCTCTCCTCCGCCCGTGCCTCTTCTCCTTTCCCCCTCCCATCAGGGGACGAAAACCCTGGTGGATAATCCTGAGGAGGGAGGCCAAGACGTACAGTCGGTTCGGTACAGGTATTTGGGCATGATCAAGAAGCACGGCGGGTTCAACCTCCTCCTTCCCCTCCCTCACTCCATTCTTTCACCCCCCTTCATTCCATCTCAGGTGGCTGAAACCCCGGTGGATAATCCTGAAGAGGCCAAGACGTACACGCGGTACAAGTACCCGCGCATGATCAAGAAGCAGGGCGGGTTCAAGCTTTGCAGCTAAATTACCCTTATTTCTGACCCATCTCAACCCATCATTGCTCCCATCAGGTGGCTGAAACCCCGGTGGATAATCCTGAAGAAGCCAAGACGTACACGCGCTACAAGTACCCGCGCATGGTCAAGAAGCAGGGCGGGTTCAAGCCCCTCCTTCCCCTCCCCCCCTCTCCATTCCATCTCAGGTTGCTGAAACCCCAGTCGATAACCCTGAAGAGGCCAAGACGTACACGCGCTACAAGTACCCGCGCATGGTCAAGAAGCAGGGCGGATTCAAGCTGACGGTGGAACCTGGTGACTTCACGGACTCACAGATCGTGGTGATGCTGGGGGAGAACGGCACCGGCAAGACCACCTTTATCCGCATGCTGGTAGGGAAGCTGTCTCTCATGGGTGCGCATGCTGGTAGGCACATGTGTGCACCATAGGTAGGGATGGCAGTGGACGCAAGGCACAGACTCGCAGATCGTGGTGATGCTGGGGGAGAATGGCACCGGCGAAACCACCTTTATCCGCATGCTGGTAGGCCAACTCTCTCACCTGTGCATGGCTGGTGGTAGGCCGGTAGCCCAACTTGCATGTGCCCGCACCATGCCACATGCTTCCGAAGAGCTAATAGGCCGACTCTTGTGTCATATGCATACCGGTTGGGCTAGTCGTTGGCTCCTAAATTCCCGTTTCCTTCCCGTTTCCGCGTCTCCCAATATCGCCAGCTTGCACGTCTCTTTGGCTCTCTCTCCTCCCTGTCCCTTCCATGATCCATCTTCCATCCCTCCTCTCTCCCTTCCAGGCGGCTCTCTCAAGGCCGGACCCAGATGAGGAAACCGGCAAGGAGGCCCAAGGTTTTCCCGAGTTCAACGCGTCGTACAGGCCGCAGAAGACCAGCCCAGCCCCAAGTTTCCCTTCCCATTCTCATTCTCCGTCCCTTTTTCTTCCCTTTCCACTTCGATCCCCCGTGCCTTGTCTCCCTTCTCCCTTGTATCACGCAGGCTGGTCTGTTAAAGGCCGACCCGGACGAATCAACTGGCAAGGAAGCCGAAGATCTCCCGGATTTCAGTGTGTTGTACAGGCCGCAGAAGACCAGCCCAGCCCCAAGTTTTCTGCGTTACTCTCCTCCCTCCTCCCCTCTCCTCTCCTGTCTCGTTCTGAACCCCTCCAGGCCGGCCTCTTGAAGGCAGATCCAGACGAGGAGACCGGGAAAGAAGCTGAGGACCTCCCGGAGTTCAACGTGTCGTACAAGCCGCAGAAGATCAGCCGCAAGTTCCCCCTCTCATACCCTCTCGTTCCTCTCCTTTCCGCTCTCCTGTGTCCTTCTCAACCCCTTACAGGCTGGTCTCTTAAAGGCTGACCCGGACGAGGAGACCGGCAAGGAGGCCGAGGACCTCCCGGAGTTCAACGTGTCGTACAAGCCGCAGAAGATCTCCCCCAAGTTCCCCCACAGCGTGCGCGCGCTGCTGCACTCCAAGATCCGAGACTCGTTCCACCACCCACAGTTCAACACCGACGTGCTGCGCCCCATGCAGATCGACCCGCTCCTGGACCAGGAGGTGGTGAATTTGTCGGGTGGGGAGCTGCAGCGCGTGGCTATTACCCTTTGTCTGGGAAAGGTAAGGAAGGAGTGGGTGGGTTGGTCAACTCTCTCTTGGAGACTGCGGCGGTTCAAGGTGGTTTTGGGCGGTTCTGGGGCGGCTCAGAAGTTGCCCCATGCAGATCGACCCCCTGCTCGACCAGGAGGTGGTGAAAATCTCAGGAGGGGAGCTGCAGCGCGTGGCCATCACGCTGTGCCTTGGCAAGGTAAGGAAGGGGTGCATCAAGTCCCTCTTGGGATTTTAAGGTGGTCTGAGGCGGTTTTGGGGCGGTTTTGGGGTGGTTTGGGGGCGGTTTTGGGGTGGTTTTGGGGCGGTTTTGGGACGGTTTTGGGGCGGCTCAGAAGTTGTCTCATGCAGATCGACCCCCTGCTCGACCAGGAGGTGGTGAATTTGTCAGGAGGAGAGCTGCAGCGCGTGGCTATTTCCCTCTGCCTTGGGAAGGTGCGTCGCTATTTCCCTCTGTTTTGGGAAGGTGCGTGGCTATTTCGCTATGCCTTGGGAAGGTGCGTGGCTATTTCCCTCTGCCTTGGGAAGGTGCGTGGCTATTTCCCTCTGCCTTGGGAAGGTGCGTGGCTATTTCCCTCCGCTTTGGGAAGGTGCGTGGCTATTTCCCTCTGCCTTGGAAGGTGCGTGGCTATTTCCCTCTGCCTTGGAAGGTGCGTGGCTATTCCCCTCTGCCTTGGGAAGGTGCGTGGCTATATTACTCTGTTTTGGGAAAGTGCGTGGCTATTTCCCTCTGCCTTGGGAAGGTGCGTGGCTATTTCCCTCTGCCTTGGGAAGGTGCTTGGCTATTTCCCTCTGCCTAGGGAAGGTGCGTGGCTATTTCCCTCTGCTTTGGGAAGGTGCGTCGCTATTTCCCTCTGCCTTGGTGGCATCTACCTCATTGACGATCCATCGGCCTATCTCGACTCAAGAGCAGTGCATTGTGGCAGCCACGGTCATCAAGCGGTTCATCCTTCCCTTTTTTCCCTTTCTCCCCCTCTTCCACTTTCTCCTTTCTCCAGCCTGCCGACATCTATCTGATCGATGAACCCTCGGCCTATCTCGACTCAAGAGCAGCGCATCGTGACGGTCAAGGTCATCAAGCCGTTCATCCTGCACATGCGTTCCTTCTTCTCTCTCCTCCCAGCCTGCCGACATCTACCTCATAGACGAGCCCTCGGCCTATCTGGATTCGGAGCAGCGCATCGTGGCAGCCAAGGTGATCAAGCCGTTCATCCCTCCCCTCCCTTTAACATTCCACTTCCACTTCCAACCCCCCACACCCCCTTTCCTCCCAGCCTGCCGACATCTACCTGATTGATGAACCCTCAGCCTACTTGGATTCAGAGCAGCGCATTGTGGCGGCCAAGGTGATCAAGCGCTTCATCCTGCACGCCAAGAAGACGGCGTTTGTGGTGGAGCACGACTTCATCATGGCCACGTACCTGGCGGACCGCGTCATCGTGTACGAGGGGCAGCCGTCGGTGGACTGCACGGCGCGCACGCCCCAGTCGCTCAACAGCGGCATGAACCTCTTCCTCTCGGTGAGAGACCCCTTGTTGCTTGCTGTGTGAGTGAGAACCCCCCTTTGTGGTGGAGCACGACTTCATCATGGCCACGTACCTGGCGGACCGCGTGATTGTCTACGAGGGGCAGCCGTCCGTGGATTGCACGGCTTGCACTCCTCAAGTCGCTCAACAGCGGCATGAACCTCTTCCGGCATGCCCAAGGGAGCTGTGCGCTTGTAGGGTGCACTCATGGAACCCCTTTCTCCCTCCCGTTTTCACCTCTTCTCGCTACCGTGCCCCTCACAACCATCGTTTCCTCCCACCCCCAACCACCACCACCCTCCCCCCCCCAGCAACTGGACATCACGTTCCGGCGCGACCCCACCAACTTTCGGCCGCGCATCAACAAGATGGATTCTGTCAAGGACCGCGAGCAGAAGAATGCCGGCACCTACTACTACCTGGACGACTGAGTGCGGGCATGGCATTGGCCGTTTTGGCATGCCCATGAAAGGGTGCACTCATGGGATGGGAGCACAAGTCTGCTAGCAGTGGCACCTACACTACCGTACCTCGATGAGTGATCGGCATTGGCCATTGCCAACTTGCCATCCATCCCTAGACCCTACCCCACCCATGGCATCCGTATGCGATCGACAACTGTGCTGGAGGGTACAGTCATGGGAGTTAACTTTTTGAAAGCAACGCTCACATGCTAAGCGTATTTAGGACGATTGTGTTAGGCATTGTGCTTTACGTGAGCGTTGGTTCGCAGGACTCTAGCTGTCGTGTCTCTGACGAGTGTTTGCATAATGGTAGGACTGGCCGTACCAGCTGACTTTTGACCTGACCTTGAGAGTCGTCTGCGCCAATTCATTGCTGCAGGATAACAAATGAAGTTGTTGGAGCATGATTTTCAGGCTGTAGTAGCATCTGTTGCTGTTGGAGCTTGGAGGAAAAAGTGGCATATCGGACTGCGAGTGACACAAAAGATGGGCACATTGTTTTTACTGTGGTTAAAAAACAGATGCCAATCAGCTCTACCTTGGTGCTACCGGGTATATGAAAATGATTTAGCTACACAGTACAGTGAACTTCACCCTCCAAGCTCGGCTTTAAGCTCCCCATTAGCCTTCATTTCAAGCACAATATCGCATCCACCAATCAGCTCGCCCTTGTGGTACACCTGGGGGTACGTGGGCCAATTGGAGAGCTCCTTCAGCCCCTGCCTCACTGCTTCATCCGTGAGAATGTCAAAACTGCCAAAGGAAATGCCTTCTGACGTAAGTGCATCCACCACCTTGCGGCTGAACCCACACCGCGGCTCCTCAGGTGTGCCCTGGGAAAGCAAGGCAAGGCCGTGAGGACAAGCCATGGGGAAGAGGGGGGGAAGAGGGGGGGAAGAAGGGGGGAAGAGGGGGGGGAAGAAGGGGGGAAGAGGGGGGGGAAACATGCGATGAGTCCATGTCTGACTTGACTGCATCCACCACCTTGCGGCTGAACCCACACCGGGGCTCCTGCGGTGTTCCCTGAATAACAAGGGATGGGGATGGTCATGGGTACATAGCACAGGAAGGCAGGGGAAGGGGGGTTGGGGGGGTGTAAAGGCATGTGTTCAGCCCCTGCCGCACTGCCTCGTCCGTGAGAATGTCAAAACTGCCAAAGGAAATACCTTCTGACGTGAGTGCATCCACCACCTTGCGGCTGAACCCACACCGCGGCTCCTCTGGTGTGCCCTGGGAAAGCAAGGCAAGGCCGTGAGGACAAGCCATGGGGAAGAAGGAAGGAAACATGCGATGAGTCCATGTCTGACTGGACTGCATCCACCACCTTGCGGCTGAACCCACACCGCGGCTCCTCCGGTGTTCCCTGAGAGGTAACGCAGCAGAGAGGACGGGATGAGAGGAAGGGATGAGAGGAAGGGATGAGAGGAAGGGATGAGAGGAAGGCGAAGACGAGACGAGTGCCTTCAATCATCTTTATTAGCTAAGGCAGGACGATACAGATTATCACATACGCCCCAACCCACTCTACTCCAACATACCTTCATGAACAGCATGGTAGGCGAAGACGAGAGGAGTGCCTTCAGCCGCTCTTGCAACCCCTTCGCCCCATCAACCTGCCCATCCGCCGCTGCTGCTGCTGCCGTCACTGCTCCTGGTGCATCTCCCTTCCCCGCCCCTCCCAGCACCCCTTTCTCTGCAAACACCTCTTTCAACTCCCCACTCTCGTGCATCTGCAGCACAATATCACACCCCCCAACCAGCTCCCCCTTGCAATACAACTGCGGGAAAGTCGGCCAGTCGCTATACACCTTTAAACCCTGCTAGCTTGCTCCTGCTACTGCCGTCACTGCTTGCTTGCTACTGCTGCTGCCGTCACTGCTTGCTTACTCCTGCTGCTGCCGTCACTGCTTGCTTACTCCTGCTGCTGCCGTCACTGCTTGCTTACTCCTGCTGCTGCCGTCACTGCTTGCTTGCTCCTGCTGCTGCCGTCACTGCTTGCTTGCTCCTGCTGCTGCCGTCACTGCTTGCTTACTCCTGCTGCTGCCGTCACTGCTTGCTTACTCCTGCTGCTGCTGTCACTGCTTGCTTACTCCTGCTGCTGCCGTCACTGCTTGCTTACTCCTGCTGCTGCCGTCACTGCTTGCTTGCTCCTGCTGCTGCCGTCACTGCTTGCTTACTCCTGCTGCTGCTGTCACTGCTTGCTTACTCCTGCTGCTGCCGTCACTGCTTGCTTGCTCCTGCTGCTGCCGTCACTGCTTGCTTACTCCTGCTGCTGCCGTCACTGCTTGCTTGCTCCTGCTGCTGCTGTCACTACTTCGCTTGCTCCTGCTGCTGCTGTCAATGCTTGCTTGCTCCTGCTGCTGCCGTCACTGCTTGCTACTGCTGCTGCCGTCACTGCTTGCTGCTGCTCTGCTGTTGCTGCTTGCTACTGCTGCCCTGCTGTTGCTGCCGATGTCATTGTTTGTGCTGCTGCTGAAGTTCAGAATGCTTTGTCTCCAGAATTTTTGCACAATGTACGGTAAAGTGATACAAGAGGATGCTATGCGAAGAAATGAAACACGTTGAACCTATCTTGATCGTTGGGATGACACAAATGGTTAAGAATCACTAGACAAGCACAACCACCAGTGTTGTACAGTCCTCACAACCGTTTCCATGATGCTCAAGGCATCCTTGTTTGCAGTAGTCGAGAGGCGGGAGACGGACATCAACGTCACACCGTAGACAGACTACACCGTTCATCACCACTCGTCACCGCTCGTCACCACTCACGGGCACTCAACACCACCAATGACCACACACAACGGCCCAGCACCACGCACTGCCGCTCCGAACCACTCTGCCAACAAAAACTGAGCGAGTGGACAAACCATACAGTACAGTTCCTCCTCCTCCTCCTCCTCCTTTTCCTCCTCCTCCTCCTCCTCCTCTTCCTCCTCCTCCTCCTCCTCCTCCTCCTCCTCCTCCTCCTCCTCCTCCTCCTCCTCCTCCTCCTCCTCTTCCTCCTCGTCCTCCTCGTCTTTCTCCTCCTCGTCGTCGTCATGGTCCTCCTCCTTTTCCTCCTCCTCCTCCTCCTCCTCCTCCTCCTCCTCCTCCTCCTCCTCCTCCTCCTCCTCCTCCTCCTCCTCCTCCTCCTCCTCTTCCTCCTCCTCTTCCTCCTTCTCCTCCTGCTCCTGCTCCTGCTCCTGCTCCTGCTCTTGCTCCTGCTCCTGCTCCTCGTCCTGGTCCTCGTCGTCGTCGTCTTCCTCCTCCCTGCCCTCCTCCTCCTCGTCGTCGTCGCCTTCCCCGTCCTTGTCACACCTGTTCTGTTGCTGCTCGATGGCGAGGCAAATGCTCACTACTACCATTCGCTGCTTGTGCTGGTCCGGTTGCTTCTTATCGCTGCTGAACATTTTATATTGCTGCTCGATGGTGAGGCGAATACTCACTGCTGCCGTTCGCTACTTGTGCTCGTGCTGGTGTATCCTAGTGCTGCTGAGCATTTTCCGTTGCTGCTCGATGGTGAGGCGAATGCTCACTACTGTTGTTCGCTACTTCTGCTCGTGCTGGTGTTTCCTAGTGCTATTTAGCATTTTCCGTTGCTGCTCGATGGTGAGGCGAATGCTCACTACTACTGCATTTTCAGTTGCTGCTCGATGGTTAGGCGGATGCTCACTACTATCTTTCGCTGCTTGTGTTCGTGCTGGTGTTTTCTACTGCTGCTGAACATTTTCCGTTGCTTCTCGATGGTGAGGCGGATGCTGACTACTACCTTTCGCTGCTTGTGCTCGTGCTGGTGTTTCCTACGGCTGCTGAACATCTTCAGTTGCTGCTCGATGGTGAGGCGGATTCTCACTATTACAGTTCGCTGCTTGTGCTCGTGCTGGTGTTTCCTACTGCTGCTGATATTATCTGTTGTTGCTTGATGGTGAGGTGGATGCTCACTACTACCGTTTGCTGCTTGTACTCGTGATGGTGTTTCCACTACTGCTGGATATTTTGTATTGTTGCTCGATGGTGAGGCGAATGCACACTACTACTGTTCACTGCTTGTGCTCGTGCTGGTGTTTCCTACTGCTGCTGAATACTTTCTGTTGCTGCTTGATGGTGAGGCGGATGTTCACTACTACCGTCCGCTGCTTGTGCTCGTGCTAGTGTTGCCTACTGCTACTAAGTATTTCCTGTTGCTCCTCGATGGTGAAGCGACTACTCACTACTACCGTTCGCTGCTTGTGCTTGTACTGGTGTTTCATATTATTGCTGAGTGTTTTCTGTTGCTTCTCGATTGTGAGGCGGATGCTCAGTACTACTATTTGCTGCTTGTGCTCATGCTGGTGTTTCCTCCTCCTCCTCCTCCTCCTCCTCCTCCTCCTCCTCCTCCTCCTCCTCCTCCTCCTCCTCCTCCTCCTCCTCCTCCTCCTCCTCCTCCTCCTACTCCTCCTCCTCCTCCTCCTCCTCCTCCTCCTCCTCCTCCTCCTCCTCCTCCTCCTCCTCCTCCTCATCCTCCTCGTCCTCCTCGTCCTTCTCCTCCTCGTCGTTGTCGTCATGGTCGTCGTCGTCGTCGTGGTCCTCCTCCTCCTCCTCCTCCTCCTCCTCCTCCTCCTCCTCCTCCTACTCCTCCTCCTCCTCCTCCTCCTCCTCCTCCTCCTCCTCCTCCTCCTCCTTCTCCTCCTACTCCTACTCCTCCTCCTCCTCCTCCTCCTCCTCCTCCTCCTCCTCCTCCTCCTCGTCTTCCTCCTCATCCTCGTCCTCCTCCTCCTCTTCCTCCTCCTCCTCCTCCTCCTTTTCCTCCTCCTCCTCCTCCTCCTCCTCCTCCTCATCCTCCTCCTCCTCCTCCTCCTCCTCTTCCTCCTCCTCTTCCTCCTTCTCCTCCTGCTCCTGCTCCTGCTCCAGCTCCTCGTCCTGGTCCTCCTCGTCGTCGTCTTCCTCCTCCCTGCCCTCTTCCTCCTCGTCGTCGTCGCCTTCCCCGTCCTTGTCACACCTGTTCTGTTGCTGCTCGATGGCGAGGCAGATGCTCACTACTACCATTCGCTGCTTGTGCTGGTCCGGTTGCTTCTTATCGATGCTGAACATTTTATATTGCTGCTCGATGGTGAGGCGAATGCTCACTGTTGCCGTTCGCATCCTTGTGCTCGTGCTGGTGTATCCTAGTGCTGCTGAGCATTTTCCGTTGCTGCTCGATGGTGAGGCGAATGCTCACTACTGCCCTTCGCTACTTCTGCTCGTGCTGGTGTTTCCTAGTGCTGTTTAGCATTTTCCGTTGCTGCTCGATGGTGAGGCGAATGCTCACTACTACTGCATTTTCAGCTGCTGCTCGATGGTGAGGCGGATGCTCACTACTATCGTTCGCTGCTTGTTTTCGTGCTGGTGTTTTCTACTGCTGCTGAACATTTTCCGTTGCTTCTCGATGGTGAGGCGGATGCTGACTACTACCTTTCGCTGCTTGTGCTCGTGCTGGTGTTTCCTACGGCTGCTGAACATCTTCAGTTGCTGCTCGATGGTGAGGTGGTTTCTCACTACTACAGTTCGCTGCTTGTGCTCGTGCTGGTGTTTCATACTGCTGCTGAGTATTTTCTGTTGCTGCTCGATTGTGAGGCGGATGCTAAGTACAACTGTTTGCTGTTTGTGCTCATACTGGTGTTTCCTCCTCCTCCTCCTCCTCCTCCTCCTCCTCCTCCTCCTCCTCCTCCTCCTCCTCCTCCTCCTCCTCCTCCTCCTCCTCTTCCTCCTCCTCCTTCTCGTCTTCCTCCTCCTACTCCTCGTTCTCCTCCTCCTCCTCGTCTTCCTCCACCTCATCGTCGTCGACTTCTTTCTCGTCGCCCTCCTCCTCCTCCTCCTCCTCCTCCTCCTCCTCCTCCTCCTCCTCCTCCTCCTCCTCCTCCTCCTCCTCCTTCTCCTCCTACTCCTACTCCTCCTCCTCCTCATCCTCCTCCTCCTCCTCCTCCTCCTCGTCTTCCTCCTCATCCTCGTCCTCCTCCTCCTCTTCCTCCTCCTCCTCCTCCTCCTCCTTTTCCTCCTCCTCCTCCTCCTCCTCCTCCTCCTCCTCCTCCTCCTCCTCCTCCTCTTCCTCCTCCTCTTCCTCCTTCTCCTCCTGCTCCTGCTCCTGCTCCTGCTCCAGCTCCTCGTCCTGGTCCTCCTCGTCGTCGTCTTCCTCCTCCCTGCCCTCTTCCTCCTCGTCGTTGTCACCTTCACCATCCTTGTCACACCTGTTCTGTTGCTGCTCGATGGCGAGGCAGATGCTCACTACTACCATTCGCTGCTTGTGCTGGTCCGGTTGCTTCTTATCACTGCTGAACATTTTATATTGCTGCTCGATGGTGAGGCGACTGCTCACTGTTGCCGTTCGCTCCTTGTGCTCGTGCTAGTGTATCCTAGTGCTGCTGAGCATTTTCCGTTGCTGCTCGATGGTGAGGCAAATGCTCACTACTGCCGTTCGCTACTTCTGCTCGTGCTGGTGTTTCCTAGTGCTGTTTAGCATTTTCCGTTGCTGCTCGATGGTGAGGCGAATGCTCACTACTACTGCATTTTCAGCTGGTGCTCGATGGTGAGGCGGATGCTCACTACTATCGTTCGCTGCTTGTGTTCGTGCTGGTGTTTTCTACTGCTGCTGAACATTTTCCGTTGCTTCTCGATGGTGAGGCGGATGCTGGCTACTACCTTTCGCTACTTGTGCTCGTGCTTGTGTTTCCTACGGCTGCTGAACATCTTCAGTTGCTGCTCGATGGTGAGGTGGTTTCTCACTACTACAGTTCGCTGCTTGTGCTCGTGCTGGTGTTTCCTACTGCTGCTGGATATTATCTGTTGTTGCTTGATGGTGAGGCGGATGCTCACTACTACCGTTTGCTGCTTGTGCTCGTGATGGTGTTTCATACTGCTGCTGAGTATTTTTTGTTGCTGCTCGATTGTGAGGCGAATGCTAAGTACAACTGTTTGCTGTTTGTGCTCATACTGGTGTTTCCTCCTCCTCCTCCTCCTCCTCTTCCTCCTCCTCCTCCTCCTCCTCCTCCTCCTCCTCCTCCTCCTCCTCCTCCTCCTCCTCCTCTTCCTCCTCCTCCTTCTCGTCTTCCTCCTCCTACTCCTCCTTCTCCTCCTCCTCCTCGTCCTCCTCGTTCTCCTCCTCCTCCTCCTCCTCCTCCTCCTCCTCCTCCTCCTCCTCCTCCTCCTCCTCCTCCTCCTCCTCCTCCTCCTCCTCCTCGTCTTCCTCCTCCTCCTCGTTCTCCTCCTCCTCCTCGTCTTCCTCCACCTCATCGTTGTCGTCTTCTTTCTCGTCGCCCTCCTCCTCCTCCTCGTCCTCCTCCTTGTCCTCCTCCTCCTCCTCCTCCTCCTCCTCCTCCTCCTCCTCTTCCTCCTCCTCCTCCTGCTCCTTGTCCTCCTCCTCCTCCTCCTCCTCCTCCTCCTCCTCCTCCTCCTCCTCCTCCTCCTCCTCCTCCTCCTCCTCCTCCTCCTCCTCCTCCTCCTCCTGCCCCTGCTCCTGCTCCTGCTCTTCGTCCTGGTCCTCGTCGTCTTCCTCCTCCTCCTCCTCCTCCTCCTCCTCCTCCTCCTCCTCCTCCTCCTCCTCCTCCTCCTCCTCCTCCTCCTCCTCCTCCTCCTCCTTGTCCTCCTCCGCCTCGTTGTCGTCGCCCTCCTGGTCGTTGTCACCCCTGTTCTGTTGCTGCTCGATGGTGATGCTACTCGATGGTGAGGCGAATGCTCACTACTACTTGCATTTTCAGCTGCTGCTCGATGGTGAGGCGGATGCTCACTACTATCGTTCCCTTCTTTTGCTCGTGCTGTTTTTTCCTACTGCTGTTGAACATTTCCTGTTGCTGCTCAATTGCAAGCCAGATTCTCAAAACTACCGTTCAAGCTTGTGGTACTCTTGTTGTTTCCTACTACTATTGAACATTTTCCATTGCTGCTCGATGGTGAGGCGGATGCTCACTACTACCGTTCGTTGTTTGTGCTCGTGGTGGTGTTTCATACTTCTGCTGAACATTTTATGTTGCTGCTCAATGGTGAGGCTGTTGCGCACAGCTACTGTTCGCCGCTAGCGTTTCCTAGTGCTGCTTGATGGTAAGGCTATTGCGCACTGCTGCCGTTTGCCGCTAGTACTCCCACTGATGTTTCCTCCTCCTCCCCTCCTCCTGCTCCTCCTCCTGCACCTACTCCCGCTCCTGCTCCTGCTCCTCCTCCGCATCCTCCTCCTCCTCCTCCTCCTCCTCCTCCTCCTCCTCCTCCTCCTCCTCCTCCTCCTCCTCCTCCTCCTCCTCCTCCTCCTCCTCCTCCTCCTCCTCCTCCTCCTCCTCCGCGTCCTCGTTGTTGTTCCCGTACTTGTCATCGTCGTCCTTATATTTGAAGTAATTACGCGCACCTTTTTTGTTGCCTGTGACGTTAGTTTGTTTTATAACGACATATGGAGACGCTTCGCTTCAACGAGGAAAGAAAATAATACGGCCCTATAATATCCATTTAATTAGCCCATGTGCATATGTTATAAACCTTATCTTGTAAACATTTCCTTATTATGAGCCAATGCCTTTTTGTTTTTTCAAATGTACTTGATAAGTGCGAACATGTTCATGTAGGAGATATTACTTAGTACTCTGGAGGTGTAGCTGCACAACTGCGGAGGCTGCAAGTCGACTCGCGCCTCAAACCACAGTAACAATCAGATAGGAACATCCGTTTGTGCTGTGAGTGGCAAATGTGACGCGCATCGTCTTACAACATTTTTTTTTTTCGTTTTTTTATTCCGCCCGTACATTTGTACGTGTAAATCGGATCCACTCAGTTGACTCTCTTCCATTTTCAGATTAGGGTGTGGAGTAAGCTTTCCCTTTTGTTTCTCTCTGCCCTCCTTGTTACAAAACATTTTGTGGGAGGGTGGGTTTCAATCTCATCCACCTCTCCTCTCCGCACCAAACTCGATTCTCTCGCATTCCTCGCCTCGCCCTTCTCAGTTAGCTCACAACCACCTAATCCGCTGCCGTGTCATTCGCATTAGTAAGGTCTCAGTCCAGTGTTTGTTCGCGCGCCTTGCACGCTTCGCGCCCGTTAAATTGTCGTCGTCATGCGCGCCTCGCGCTGCTCCCTGCGCGGTGCTTTCGTTTATTCGCCCCGCGCTTTTTCTCATTTGCAGATATAGCGTTAGATGTCCGTTAAATCTGCAGCATGCGATGTCATGTCACACGGGTCGCTGCGCGGAGCGAAAGCGCGTGCGCGCGAGGTGGCTCGGTTGGACCTCACCGTCGAACGGTCGTGATATTGTCCTGTAGTGCAAAGACGCGTTTCTTCTCTCACCGCAGCAGCAGATGTTTTTCAACGCTTCAACTCTCCCATTGTTAACCTCCTCCTCTTTCTCTCGACTGCTCTTCTTCTCCCAGCGTCGCTCTCACTGGACGGTTTCACTAGTAGTAGCGTTCTATAGTCATTCCTCTAAATGCTCTTAGTAGCATTCTCTTAGCATTTTTATTTTTGTTTCTCTTAGTCATAAATCGTTCAGCAGCAGGGAGAATGGCGCGCGCAGCAGCAGGCGAATTGGCGCGCGCAGCAGATGGCGGAATGGCGCGCCGCGGCAGCAGATGGCCTATGTCACGCCGCTGACGGAATGGTGGGCGCAGCAGCTTAGGCCCCCGTGAGAGTTATTCCGCGTTCCAGCAGATGCTCCGGTTGTTTAGATGCGATTTATATTTATATTAACACGGTGAGATTATATTTTTAGCTAAAGTTTCCCTCTTCCCCGGCCCTTCCCCTCCTCTCCATGTTCTGCCTCCTGCCTTTTCCCGCTGTTTCCCGCTCAACACTCTCACCAGGCGCCTTGGACTTCTTAACTCGTAGCGGGTGCTTCCTGCTTCACTGCCTCCTTTTGTGTTCAGCTTTGCTCGTCCTATCATTTCTGTTATGTTGTTCTTCTTTCTTTGTTTTATATTTGACGGCAAATGTTCCTATCAGATCAGCACTTACCTCTCCCACTTACCTACCTCTCCCACCAGGCAGCGGCATCACCAGGCGGCGGATCGCGCGCCACGTGGTAGGCGGCGGATCGCGCGCCATGAGAGGCTCGGCACTGCCTGGTGAGAGGCTCGGCACTGCCAGCTGAGAGGCGTGGCCAAGTGCGTCTTCCGCGCTGCAGGCGCGGCGAGTTGCTTTTTTCAGCGCTGCAGGCACGGCGAAGTGCATTTCCTCGCTGCAGGCGTGGCGAGTTGCCTTTTCTCCGCGCCCCATGCACGGCTTAGTGCCCTTTCCGCGCTGATTCCCTTCTTTTCCAGCCTTTTCCCGCCGCTTCCCGCTCTTGCCCATGGTTTCCCATGGTTTTCCTTCCCGCCGTTTCCCGCCGTCTTCCTCGGTCAACTTGATCCCCTCCGTTTCCTGCTCGTTCCGCGCTGCAGGCGGCGCAATGTGCTCGTTCCGCGCTGCAGGCGGGGCGATGTGCGCGTTCCGCGCTGCAGGCGGCGCAATGTGCGCGTTCCGCGCTGCAGGCGGGGCGATGTGCGCGTTCCGCGCTGCAGGCGGGGCGATGTGCGCGTTCCGCGCTGCAGGCGGGGCGATGTGCGCGTTCCGCGCTGCAGGCGGGGCGATGTGCTCGTTCCGTGCTGCAGGCGGGGCGATGTGCGCGTTCCGCGCTGCAGGCGGGGAGATGTGCTTGTTCCGCGCTGCAGGCGGGGCAATGTGCTTGTTCCGCGCTGCAGGCGGGGCGATATGCTCGTTCCGCGCTGCAGGCGGCGCGATGTGCTCGTTCCGCGCTGCAGGCGGCGCAATGTGCACGTTCCGCGCTGCAGGCGGGGCGATGTGCGCGTTCCGCGCTGCAGGCGGCGCAATGTGCTCGTTCCGCGCTGCATGTGGCGCAATGTGCGCGTTCCGCGCTGCAGGCGCGGCGTGTTGCTTCTTTCCTGATTCCCGCCCTTTTCTGCCGGTTTCCCGCCGTTTCCCGCGGTCAACCTTAACCCTGCGGAGAACGGCGCGTCGCGCGCTGGTGGAACCCCCCTCCAGTTGCCCCCCCAAGCTCCGTGCCCCTCTTCCCCATCCCCCCCCTCCAGTTGTACGAAGAACGTATGACCGTGGCGCCGCCGCCCGCCTCTCAGCCAATCACGGATGGCCACGTGGCGGGGCAGGTGGGCAACGGCGCGGCGAGGAGAGAGGCACGAGGTGAGACCATGACGAGGCGTCATCACCTCCTGTACTCCCCTCTCCTCGCCTCGTCCGTCCCCCCGTACTCATCTCCTCTCGTCCTCTCTTCTCACCTCCCCTGTCCCCCGTACTCACCTCCTAAACGCGCTTGTTTTGTGCCCTCGTTATGCCCTCCCCCCCTGACCTCCTTAATCCCCCCTCGCCTCCTCTTCCCCCCCCCAATCACCGCCTCTCTCACCCTCCACCCTCCCACCCCAGAGGTGGCTGAGGTCTGCCGGACTTGGCCTCGACGTCGGACGAGGTTCGGCTCGGCTCTGGTCTGGATGAGGCTCGGCCAGTGCAGTGCGCAAGGTACGTTGCTTGCGTTGCGTTGCAGTGCGCAAGGTACGTTGCTTGCGTTGCGTTGCGTGGTGAGAGGGAGGGAGGCGAGGGAGATTGCCTCCACACTCACCACCTCTGCTCCCCACACTCACCATCCCCCCCCACTTATCACCACTCTTCACCTTCCCCCACCACCGCTCCCCTTTATTCACCTTTCCCCACTGCTCCCCAGCACTCATCTCTGCTCCCCTGCGCTCACCTCTGCTCCCCTGCGCTCACCTCTGCTCCCCTGCGCTCACCTCTGCTCCCCTGCGCTCACCTCTGCTCCCCTGCGCTCACCTCTGCTCCCCTGCACTCACCTCTGCTCCCCTGCACTCACCTCTGCTCCCCTGCACTCACCTCTGCTCCCCTGCACTCACCTTTACTGTTCACCCACTTTTCACACCACCGTTTCCCCGTCCCCCACTGTTCACGCCATTGTTTCCCCGTCCCCCACTGTTCACGCCATTGTTTCCCCGTCCCCAAATGTTCACACCACTGTTTCTCCGTCCCCCGTTGTTCACACCACGGTTTTTTCCCCACTGTTCACCCACCTTTTGTTCCCTCTGTTCCCTCTGTTCACCCCTCTGCCATCCCCGCTTGCTCGCCATGCTCCCCGCACTCACTTGCTATGCTCCCTCCCCTCCCCCCACTCACTCATTGCCCGAAACATCCAGCCAGGTGAGAAGCTGCCACTCCTCACTCGTGGCATCCCCCCCCCCCCCCCCCCCCACTGTTTAACGAGGCGTCGTTACCTCCTGTACTGCCCTCTCCTCGCCTCGTCCGTCCCCCGTACTCACCTCCTCTCGTCCTCTCTTCTCACCTCCTGTCCACCCCTCTTCTCACCCTCCCCTGTCCCCCGTACGTACTCACCTCGTAAACGCGCTTGAGATGTGCACTCGTTATGCCCTCCCCCCCTGACCTCCTTACTCCCCCCTCGCCTCCTCTTCCCCCCAATCACCGCCTCTCTCACCCTCCACCCTCCCACCCCAGAGGTGGCTGAGGTCTGCCGGACTTGGCCTCGACGTCGGACGAGGTTCGGCTCGGCTCTGGTCTGGATGAGGCTCGGCCAGTGCAGTGCGCAAGGTACGCTGCTTGCGTTGCGTTGCAGTGCGCAAGGTACGTTGCTTGCGTTGCGTTGCAGTGCGCAAGGTACGTTGCTTGCGTTGCGTTGCGTGGTGAGAGGGAGGGAGGCGAGGGAGATTGCCTCCACACTCACCACCTCTGCTCCCCACACTCACCATCCCCCCCCACTTATCACCACTCTTCACCTTCCCCCACCACCGCTCCCCTTTATTCACCTTTCCCCACTGCTCCCCAGCACTCATCTCTGCTCCCCTGCGCTCACCTCTGCTCCCCTGCGCTCACCTCTGCTCCCCTGCGCTCACCTCTGCTCCCCTGCGCTCACCTCTGCTCCCCTGCGCTCACCTCTGCTCCCGTGCGCTCACCTCTGCTCCCCTGCGCTCACCTCTGCTCCCCTGCACTCATCTCTGCTCCCCTGCGCTCACCTCTGCTCCCCTGCGGTCACCTCTGCTCCCCTGCGCTCACCTCTGCTCCCCTGCGCTCACCTCTGCTCCCCTGCGCTCACCTCTGCTCCCCTGCGCTCACCTCTGCTCCCCTGCGCTCACCTCTGCTCCCCTGCACTCACCTCTGCTCCCCTGCACTCACCTCTGCTCCCCTGCACTCACCTCTGCTCCCCTGCACTCACCTTTACTGTTCACCCACTTTTCACACCACCGTTTCCCCGTCCCCCACTGTTCATGCCATTGTTTCCCCGTCCCCCACTGTTCACGGCCATTGTTTCCCCGTCCCGAAATGTTCACACCACTGTTTCTCCGTCCCCCGTTGTTCACACCACGGTTTTTTCCCCACTGTTCACCCACCTTTTGTTCCCTCTGTTCCCTCTGTTCACCCCTCTGCCATCCCCGCTTGCTCGCCATGCTCCCCGCACTCACTTGCTATGCTCCCTCCCCCCACTCACTCATTGCCCAAAACAGCCAGCCAGGTGAGAAGCTGCCACTCCTCACTCGTGGCATCTCTCCCCCCCCCCCCCTCCCTTGCCGTCCCTCCTCCACATGCTTTCACTCTCTGCACGTGCGTTCAAACCACACCCTGCTCATGCCACAAACCTATAGCCTTGCCATGCCTTCATTTATTACGCTTATGATGTTCTAGCACGCATGATAACTGCTTAACTAATTTCAGTGGTAGAATCTGTCTGTGTAGCTAGGATTGTAGGACTTGATATGTGTGCTTGTATGTATGGGCATGCCTACTATATAGCCATGCCCTGGCCTGGTCTGGTTTGGCCGGGCCTGGGGTGGGGAGCTCGGGCCCACGGGGTTTCAGCCTGGCCCCTGTTCCAGCAGCCTGCCGCCCGGTTACTGTTCCAGCCGCCCCCTTACTGTTGCTGCCGCCCAGACACTGTTGCTACCGCCCAGATGCTGTTGATGCTCCCCAGACACTGTTGATTCCGTCCATACACTGTTGCTGCCGCCCAGGTACTGTTGCTGCCGCCCAGGTACTGTTGCTGCCGCCCAGGTACTGTTGCTGCCATCCAGACACTGTTGCTGCCATCCAGACACTGTTGCTGCCATCCAGACACTGTTGCTGCCGCCCAGACACTGTTGCTGCCGCCCAGACACTGCTGGTGCCGCCCAGACACTGTTGTTGCCGCCCAGACACTGTTGTTGCCGCCCAGACACTGTTGTTGCCGCCCAGACACTGTTGTTGCCGCCCAGACACTGTTGCTGCCGCCCAGACACTGTTGCTGCCGCCCAGACACTGTTGCTGCCGCGCCCGGTTACTGTTGCTGCCGCCCAGGTACTGTTGCTGCCATTCAGACACTGTTGCTGCCATCCAGACACTGTTGCTGCCGCCCAGACACTGTTGGTGCCGCCCAGACACTGTTGGTGCCGCCCAGACACTGTTGTTGCCGCCCAGACACTGTTGCTGCCGCCCAGACACTGTTGCTGCCGCCCAGACACTGTTGCTGCCGCCCAGACACTGTTGCTGCCGCCCAGACACTGTTGCTGCCGCCCAGACACTGTTGCTGCCGCCCAGACACTGTTGCTGCCGCCCAGACACTGTTGCTGCCGCGCCCGGTTACTGTTGCTGCCACCCGGTTACTGTTGCTGCCACCCGGTTACTGTTGCTGCCGCCCGGTTACTGTAGGGTTAGGGGGGGACCATGCCCATGCCAAGGATGGGGGGGACCATGCCCATGCCAGGGATTTTGGGGGGCGGGGGTGGGGGGCTGTGAGGAGGATTGGGGGGTAGGGGGGCCTTAGGGGGGCCTTGGGGGGGGTCATGGGGGGGTTTCATCTCCCCTCTCGCTATTGTCACTCTCTTTATTGTCCACGCTCTGCGTTATAGTACCCCTTGTTTGCTCTTCGGTGAAGGGGGTGGTGGGCGTGGTGCTCACAGAGAAGGGTGGGTGCATAAAGAGGCGGTAGGGGGAAAAACATTGATCGGTTTGCCATCAGGGCCAACGAGCTAGTCTTGCACACCCCCATCTGGTTGCACTTCCCCCGTCTAATTCCTTCCTCTTCGCCTTCCTCCCTTTTCCCCTTCCCTCGTCCAGGTGTGGGAGCGTGAGGTGGAGCACGTGTCCGGAGGAGAGCTGCAGCGCTTTGCCGTTGGAGTGGTGGGGGGGCAGCTGGGAGACAGACATCTACATGTTCGATGAGCCCTCTCCTCTTCCCCACCTAATCACCTATCCTCATCCCGATTCACCACTCCTTTCAGGTGTGGGAGCGTGAGGTGGAGCATCTGTCAGGAGGCGAGCTGCAGCGGTTTGCCATTGGAGTGGTGGCGGGGCAGCTGGGAGACATCTACATGTTCGATGAGCCTTCCAGCTACCTGGACGTGCGGCAGCGATTGAAGGCAGCGCAGGTCATCCGCTCGCTGCTGCGCCCCGACAGGTATGGTCAGTGGTCCGAACAGGTGCGATCAATGGTTGGTGGATAGAGCAAGGGAAAGAGGGATTCAAATAGCTGGTCATAGCTGGTCATTTGTTTCATATTCCTATTCAATGCTCAAGTATTTAAACACTGTTGGATTTGATTCAAATAGCTGGTCATTCGGTTACATATTGACTCCCTTAGTAAGTTCTTGAACCCCTCGAAGGGAGTCAATATGTAACCGAATAACAAGCTATTTGAACCAAATCCATTAGTGCTAAAATACTTGAGCATCGAATAGGAATATGAAACCAGTGGTACGATATTGTTACACCACTGCCCTTTCCCTTGCTCCCTTTCATTCCCCCATTCCTCCATGCATCCCCCACCGTTCCAGATACGTGATTGTGGTGGAGCGTGACCTGAGTGTGCTCGACTATCTCTCCCACTTCATGTGCTGCCTCTACGGCAAGCCAGGGGCATACGGGGCGGTTTTTCTGCGCTATCACCCCATGCACCCACTGCCCTGCCCACTCACTCCCCATTCCATCATCCCCATCCCCCCCCAGATACGTCATTGTGGTGGAGCACGATCTCAGTGTGCTCGACTATCTCTCGGACTTCATCTGCTGCCTCTACGGCAAGCCCGGTGCCTACGGGGTGGTCACGCTGCCCTTCTCCGTGCGAGAGGGCATCAACATCTTCCTGGCTGGCTTCGTGCCAACCGAGAACCTGCGCTTCCGAGACGAGTCGCTCACATTCAGGGTGAGTCTGCCGTGAGGGTGTCACCGTGTCCGTCGGGACATCAAAATTTTCATATTGCAGGCACACCTTTAGAATTCAATCAGCAGTGCGAGGGGGCATCAACATCTTCCTTGCCGGCTTTGTTCTGACCGAGAACCTGCGCTTCCGAGACGAGCCGCTCACCTTCAGGGTGAGTCTGCTTTAGGTGTTGACTTGAAAGAGGGGAATTTTGTGTTTCTCTGTGCTCGAGGGAATGAACATCTTTCTTGCCGGCTTCATACCAGCTGGAAACCTGCGTTTTCAAGACGAGTCGCTCACCTTCCGTGTGGGTCTGCTTGTCTGTTGCTCCTCTTTGTGAATGGATGTTTCTTCCTTGCCTCAGTTTCCAACTTCGTTAGATAGGGCATGAGCATATTTTTTTTTCATCTTTTGAGCCGACTTAAGACACAAAAGTCGACTCAGAAGTCAGACCCACATTTTTGAGACGAAAAGCTCATTCATTTTCAGAGTTGGAAGAAACGGACGAGGCCAAGACATATACTTGGTACAAGTACCCACGCATGATCAAGAAGCAGGGCGTGTTGAAGCTCTCTGTGTGCTGTCTCAGGTTCCTCAAAGCACTCCTTTCCTCCCCTCCACTCCCTCTCCTCCGCCCGTGCCTCTTCTCCTTTCCCCCTCCCATCAGGGGACGAAAACCCTGGTGGATAATCCTGAGGAGGGAGGCCAAGACGTACAGTCGGTTCGGTACAGGTATTTGGGCATGATCAAGAAGCACGGCGGGTTCAACCTCCTCCTTCCCCTCCCTCACTCCATTCTTTCACCCCCCTTCATTCCATCTCAGGTGGCTGAAACCCCGGTGGATAATCCTGAAGAGGCCAAGACGTACACGCGGTACAAGTACCCGCGCATGATCAAGAAGCAGGGCGGGTTCAAGCTTTGCAGCTAAATTACCCTTATTTCTGACCCATCTCAACCCATCATTGCTCCCATCAGGTGGCTGAAACCCCGGTGGATAATCCTGAAGAAGCCAAGACGTACACGCGCTACAAGTACCCGCGCATGGTCAAGAAGCAGGGCGGGTTCAAGCCCCTCCTTCCCCTCCCCCCCTCTCCATTCCATCTCAGGTTGCTGAAACCCCAGTCGATAACCCTGAAGAGGCCAAGACGTACACGCGCTACAAGTACCCGCGCATGGTCAAGAAGCAGGGCGGATTCAAGCTGACGGTGGAACCTGGTGACTTCACGGACTCACAGATCGTGGTGATGCTGGGGGAGAACGGCACCGGCAAGACCACCTTTATCCGCATGCTGGTAGGGAAGCTGTCTCTCATGGGTGCGCATGCTGGTAGGCACATGTGTGCACCATAGGTAGGGATGGCAGTGGACGCAAGGCACAGACTCGCAGATCGTGGTGATGCTGGGGGAGAATGGCACCGGCGAAACCACCTTTATCCGCATGCTGGTAGGCCAACTCTCTCACCTGTGCATGGCTGGTGGTAGGCCGGTAGCCCAACTTGCATGTGCCCGCACCATGCCACATGCTTCCGAAGAGCTAATAGGCCGACTCTTGTGTCATATGCATACCGGTTGGGCTAGTCGTTGGCTCCTAAATTCCCGTTTCCTTCCCGTTTCCGCGTCTCCCAATATCGCCAGCTTGCACGTCTCTTTGGCTCTCTCTCCTCCCTGTCCCTTCCATGATCCATCTTCCATCCCTCCTCTCTCCCTTCCAGGCGGCTCTCTCAAGGCCGGACCCAGATGAGGAAACCGGCAAGGAGGCCCAAGGTTTTCCCGAGTTCAACGCGTCGTACAGGCCGCAGAAGACCAGCCCAGCCCCAAGTTTCCCTTCCCATTCTCATTCTCCGTCCCTTTTTCTTCCCTTTCCACTTCGATCCCCCGTGCCTTGTCTCCCTTCTCCCTTGTATCACGCAGGCTGGTCTGTTAAAGGCCGACCCGGACGAATCAACTGGCAAGGAAGCCGAAGATCTCCCGGATTTCAGTGTGTTGTACAGGCGGCAGAAGACCAGCCCAGCCCCAAGTTTTCTGCGTTACTCTCCTCCCTCCTCCCCTCTCCTCTCCTGTCTCGTTCTGAACCCCTCCAGGCCGGCCTCTTGAAGGCAGATCCAGACGAGGAGACCGGGAAAGAAGCTGAGGACCTCCCGGAGTTCAACGTGTCGTACAAGCCGCAGAAGATCAGCCGCAAGTTCCCCCTCTCATACCCTCTCGTTCCTCTCCTTTCCGCTCTCCTGTGTCCTTCTCAACCCCTTACAGGCTGGTCTCTTAAAGGCTGACCCGGACGAGGAGACCGGCAAGGAGGCCGAGGACCTCCCGGAGTTCAACGTGTCGTACAAGCCGCAGAAGATCTCCCCCAAGTTCCCCCACAGCGTGCGCGCGCTGCTGCACTCCAAGATCCGAGACTCGTTCCACCACCCACAGTTCAACACCGACGTGCTGCGCCCCATGCAGATCGACCCGCTCCTGGACCAGGAGGTGGTGAATTTGTCGGGTGGGGAGCTGCAGCGCGTGGCTATTACCCTTTGTCTGGGAAAGGTAAGGAAGGAGTGGGTGGGTTGGTCAACTCTCTCTTGGAGACTGCGGCGGTTCAAGGTGGTTTGGGGCGGTTCTGGGGCGGCTCAGAAGTTGCCCCATGCAGATCGACCCCCTGCTCGACCAGGAGGTGGTGAAAATCTCAGGAGGGGAGCTGCAGCGCGTGGCCATCACGCTGTGCCTTGGCAAGGTAAGGAAGGGGTGCATCAAGTCCCTCTTGGGATTTTAAGGTGGTCTGAGGCGGTTTTGGGGCGGTTTTGGGGTGGTTTGGGGGCGGTTTTGGGGTGGTTTTGGGGCGGTTTTGGGACGGTTTTGGGGCGGCTCAGAAGTTGTCTCATGCAGATCGACCCCCTGCTCGACCAGGAGGTGGTGAATTTGTCAGGAGGAGAGCTGCAGCGCATGGCTATTTCCCTCTGCCTTGGGAAGGTGCGTCGCTATTTCCCTCTGTTTTGGGAAGGTGCGTGGCTATTTCGCTATGCCTTGGGAAGGTGCGTGGCTATTTCCCTCTGCCTTGGGAAGGTGCGTGGCTATTTCCCTCTGCCTTGGGAAGGTGCGTGGCTATTTCCCTCCGCTTTGGGAAGGTGCGTGGCTATTTCCCTCTGCCTTGGAAGGTGCGTGGCTATTTCCCTCTGCCTTGGAAGGTGCGTGGCTATTCCCCTCTGCCTTGGGAAGGTGCGTGGCTATATTACTCTGTTTTGGGAAAGTGCGTGGCTATTTCCCTCTGCCTTGGGAAGGTGCGTGGCTATTTCCCTCTGCCTTGGGAAGGTGCTTGGCTATTTCCCTCTGCCTAGGGAAGGTGCGTGGCTATTTCCCTCTGCTTTGGGAAGGTGCGTCGCTATTTCCCTCTGCCTTGGTGGCATCTACCTCATTGACGATCCATCGGCCTATCTCGACTCAAGAGCAGTGCATTGTGGCAGCCACGGTCATCAAGCGGTTCATCCTTCCCTTTTTTCCCTTTCTCCCCCTCTTCCACTTTCTCCTTTCTCCAGCCTGCCGACATCTATCTGATCGATGAACCCTCGGCCTATCTCGACTCAAGAGCAGCGCATCGTGACGGTCAAGGTCATCAAGCCGTTCATCCTGCACATGCGTTCCTTCTTCTCTCTCCTCCCAGCCTGCCGACATCTACCTCATAGACGAGCCCTCGGCCTATCTGGATTCGGAGCAGCGCATCGTGGCAGCCAAGGTGATCAAGCCGTTCATCCCTCCCCTCCCTTTAACATTCCACTTCCACTTCCAACCCCCCACACCCCCTTTCCTCCCAGCCTGCCGACATCTACCTGATTGATGAACCCTCAGCCTACTTGGATTCAGAGCAGCGCATTGTGGCGGCCAAGGTGATCAAGCGCTTCATCCTGCACGCCAAGAAGACGGCGTTTGTGGTGGAGCACGACTTCATCATGGCCACGTACCTGGCGGACCGCGTCATCGTGTACGAGGGGCAGCCGTCGGTGGACTGCACGGCGCGCACGGCCCCAGTCGCTCAACAGCGGCATGAACCTCTTCCTCTCGGTGAGAGACCCCTTGTTGCTTGCTGTGTGAGTGAGAACCCCCCTTTGTGGTGGAGCACGACTTCATCATGGCCACGTACCTGGCGGACCGCGTGATTGTCTACGAGGGGCAGCCGTCCGTGGATTGCACGGCTTGCACTCCTCAAGTCGCTCAACAGCGGCATGACCTCTTCCGGCATGCCCAAGGGAGCTGTGCGCTTGTAGGGTGCACTCATGGAACCCCTTTCTCCCTCCCGTTTTCACCTCTTCTCGCTACCGTGCCCCTCACAACCATCGTTTCCTCCCACCCCCAACCACCACCACCCTCCCCCCCCCAGCAACTGGACATCACGTTCCGGCGCGACCCCACCAACTTTCGGCCGCGCATCAACAAGATGGATTCTGTCAAGGACCGCGAGCAGAAGAATGCCGGCACCTACTACTACCTGGACGACTGAGTGCGGGCATGGCATTGGCCGTTTTGGCATGCCCATGAAAGGGTGCACTCATGGGATGGGAGCACAAGTCTGCTAGCAGTGGCACCTACACTACCGTACCTCGATGAGTGATCGGCATTGGCCATTGCCAACTTGCCATCCATCCCTAGACCCTACCCCACCCATGGCATCCGTATGCGATCGACAACTGTGCTGGAGGGTACAGTCATGGGAGTTAACTTTTTGAAAGCAACGCTCACATGCTAAGCGTATTTAGGACGATTGTGTTAGGCATTGTGCTTTACGTGAGCGTTGGTTCGCAGGACTCTAGCTGTCGTGTCTCTGACGAGTGTTTGCATAATGGTAGGACTGGCCGTACCAGCTGACTTTTGACCTGACCTTGAGAGTCGTCTGCGCCAATTCATTGCTGCAGGATAACAAATGAAGTTGTTGGAGCATGATTTTCAGGCTGTAGTAGCATCTGTTGCTGTTGGAGCTTGGAGGAAAAAGTGGCATATCGGACTGCGAGTGACACAAAAGATGGGCACATTGTTTTTACTGTGGTTAAAAAACAGATGCCAATCAGCTCTACCTTGGTGCTACCGGGTATATGAAAATGATTTAGCTACACAGTACAGTGAACTTCACCCTCCAAGCTCGGCTTTAAGCTCCCCATTAGCCTTCATTTCAAGCACAATATCGCATCCACCAATCAGCTCGCCCTTGTGGTACACCTGGGGGTACGTGGGCCAATTGGAGAGCTCCTTCAGCCCCTGCCTCACTGCTTCATCCGTGAGAATGTCAAAACTGCCAAAGGAAATGCCTTCTGACGTAAGTGCATCCACCACCTTGCGGCTGAACCCACACCGCGGCTCCTCAGGTGTGCCCTGGGAAAGCAAGGCAAGGCCGTGAGGACAAGCCATGGGGAAGAGGGGGGGAAGAGGGGGGGGAAGAAGGGGGGAAGAGGGGGGGGAAGAAGGGGGGAAGAGGGGGGGGGAAACATGCGATGAGTCCATGTCTGACTTGACTGCATCCACCACCTTGCGGCTGAACCCACACCGGGGCTCCTGCGGTGTTCCCTGAATAACAAGGGATGGGGATGGTCATGGGTACATAGCACAGGAAGGCAGGGGAAGGGGGGTTGGGGGGGTGTAAAGGCATGTGTTCAGCCCCTGCCGCACTGCCTCGTCCGTGAGAATGTCAAAACTGCCAAAGGAAATACCTTCTGACGTGAGTGCATCCACCACCTTGCGGCTGAACCCACACCGCGGCTCCTCTGGTGTGCCCTGGGAAAGCAAGGCAAGGCCGTGAGGACAAGCCATGGGGAAGAAGGAAGGAAACATGCGATGAGTCCATGTCTGACTGGACTGCATCCACCACCTTGCGGCTGAACCCACACCGCGGCTCCTCCGGTGTTCCCTGAGAGGTAACGCAGCAGAGAGGACGGGATGAGAGGAAGGGATGAGAGGAAGGGATGAGAGGAAGGGATGAGAGGAAGGGATGAGAGGAAGGCGAAGACGAGACGAGTGCCTTCAATCATCTTTATTAGCTAAGGCAGGACGATACAGATTATCACATACGCCCCAACCCACTCTACTCCAACATACCTTCATGAACAGCATGGTAGGCGAAGACGAGAGGAGTGCCTTCAGCCGCTCTTGCAACCCCTTCGCCCCATCAACCTGCCCATCCGCCGCTGCTGCTGCTGCCGTCACTGCTCCTGGTGCATCTCCCTTCCCCGCCCCTCCCAGCACCCCTTTCTCTGCAAACACCTCTTTCAACTCCCCACTCTCGTGCATCTGCAGCACAATATCACACCCCCCAACCAGCTCCCCCTTGCAATACAACTGTGGGAAAGTCGGCCAGTCGCTATACAACCTTTAAACCCTGCTAGCTTGCTCCTGCTACTGCCGTCACTGCTTGCTTGCTACTGCTGCTGCCGACACTGCTTGCTTGCTACTGCTGCTGCCGTCACTGCTTGCTTACTCCTGCTGCTGCCGTCACTGCTTGCTTACTCCTGCTGCTGCCGTCACTGCTTGCTTGCTCCTGCTGCTGCCGTCACTGCTTGCTTGCTCCTGCTGCTGCCGTCACTGCTTGCTTACTCCTGCTGCTGCTGTCACTGCTTGCTTACTCCTGCTGCTGCCGTCACTGCTTGCTTACTCCTGCTGCTGCCGTCACTGCTTGCTTGCTCCTGCTGCTGCCGTCACTGCTTGCTTACTCCTGCTGCTGCTGTCACTGCTTGCTTACTCCTGCTGCTGCCGTCACTGCTTGCTTGCTCCTGCTGCTGCCGTCACTGCTTGCTTACTCCTGCTGCTGCCGTCACTGCTTGCTTGCTCCTGCTGCTGCTGTCACTACTCGCTTGCTCCTGCTGCTGCTGTCAATGCTTGCTTGCTCCTGCTGCTGCCGTCACTGCTTGCTACTGCTGCTGCCGTCACTGCTTGCTGCTGCTCTGCTGTTGCTGCTTGCTACTGCTGCCCTGCTGTTGCTGCCGATGTCATTGTTTGTGCTGCTGCTGAAGTTCAGAATGCTTTGTCTCCAGAATTTTTGCACAATGTACGGTAAAGTGATAGAAGAGGATGCTATGCGAAGAAATGAAACACGTTGAACCTATCTTGATCGTTGGGATGACACAAATGGTTAAGAATCACTAGACAAGCACAACCACCAGTGTTGTACAGTCCTCACAACCGTTTCCATGATGCTCAAGGCATCCTTGTTTGCAGTAGTCGAGAGGCGGGAGACGGACATCAACGTCACACCGTAGACAGACTACACCGTTCATCACCACTCGTCACCGCTCGTCACCACTCACGGGCACTCAACACCACCAATGACCACACACAACGGCCCAGCACCACGCACTGCCGCTCCGAACCACTCTGCCAACAAAAACTGAGCGAGTGGACAAACCATACAGTACAGTTCCTCCTCCTCCTCCTCCTCCTTTTCCTCCTCCTCCTCCTCCTCCTCTTCCTCCTCCTCCTCCTCCTCCTCCTCCTCCTCCTCCTCCTCCTCCTCCTCCTCCTCCTCCTCCTCTTCCTCCTCGTCCTCCTCGTCTTTCTCCTCCTCGTCGTCGTCATGGTCCTCCTCCTTTCCTCCTCATCCCCTACCTCCTCCTCCTCCTCCTCCTCCTCCTCCTCCTCCTCCTCCTCCTCCTCCTCCTCCTCCTCCTCCTCCTCTTCCTCCTCCTCTTCCTCCTTCTCCTCCTGCTCCTGCTCCTGCTCCTGCTCCTGCTCCTGCTCCTGCTCCTGCTCCTCGTCCTGGTCCTCGTCGTCGTCGTCTTCCTCCTCCCTGCCCTCCTCCTCCTCGTCGTCGTCGCCTTCCCCGTCCTTGTCACACCTGTTCTGTTGCTGCTCGATGGCGAGGCAAATGCTCACTACTACCATTCGCTGCTTGTGCTGGTCCGGTTGCTTCTTATCGCTGCTGAACATTTTATATTGCTGCTCGATGGTGAGGCGAATACTCACTGCTGCCGTTCGCGATCCTTGTGCTCGTGCTGGTGTATCCTAGTGCTGCTGAGCATTTTCCGTTGCTGCTCGATGGTGAGGCGAATGCTCACTACTGTTGTTCGCTACTTCTGCTCGTGCTGGTGTTTCCTAGTGCTATTTAGCATTTTCCGTTGCTGCTCGATGGTGAGGCGAATGCTCACTACTACTGCATTTTCAGCTGCTGCTCGATGGTTAGGCGGATGCTCACTACTATCTTTCGCTGCTTGTGTTCGTGCTGGTGTTTTCTACTGCTGCTGAACATTTTCCGTTGCTTCTCGATGGTGAGGCGGATGCTGACTACTACCTTTCGCTGCTTGTGCTCGTGCTGGTGTTTCCTACGGCTGCTGAACATCTTCAGTTGCTGCTCGATGGTGAGGCGGATTCTCACTATTACAGTTCGCTGCTTGTGCTCGTGCTGGTGTTTCCTACTGCTGCTGGATATTATCTGTTGTTGCTTGATGGTGAGGCGGATGCTCACTACTACCGTTTGCTGCTTGTGCTCGTGATGGTGTTTCCACTACTGCTGGATATTTTATATTGTTGCTCGATGGTGAGGCGAATGCACACTACTACTGTTCACTGCTTGTGCTCGTGCTGGTGTTTCCTACTGCTGCTGAATACTTTCTGTTGCTGCTTGATGGTGAGGCGGATGTTCACTACTACCGTCCGCTGCTTGTGCTCGTGCTAGTGTTGCCTACTGCTACTAAGTATTTCCTGTTGCTCCTCGATGGTGAAGCGACTACTCACTACTACCGTTCGCTGCTTGTGCTTGTACTGGTGTTTCATACTATTGCTGAGTGTTTTCTGTTGCTTCTCGATTGTGAGGCGGATGCTCAGTACTACTATTTGCTGCTTGTGCTCATGCTGGTGTTTCCTCCTCCTCCTCCTCCTCCTCCTCCTCCTCCTCCTCCTCCTCCTCCTCCTCCTCCTCCTACTCCTCCTCCTCCTCCTCCTCCTCCTCCTCCTCCTCCTCCTCCTCATCCTCCTCGTCCTCCTCGTCCTTCTCCTCCTCGTCGTTGTCGTCATGGTCCTCGTCGTCGTCGTGGTCCTCCTCCTCCTCCTCCTCCTCCTCCTCCTCCTCCTCCTCCTCCTCCTCCTCCTCCTCCTCCTCCTCCTCCTCCTCCTCCTTCTCCTCCTACTCCTACTCCTCCTCCTCCTCCTCCTCCTCCTCCTCCTCGTCTTCCTCCTCATCCTCGTCCTCCTCCTCCTCTTCCTCCTCCTCCTCCTCCTCCTTTTCCTCCTCCTCCTCCTCCTCCTCCTCCTCCTCCTCCTCCTCCTCCTCCTCCTCCTCCTCCTCCTCTTCCTCCTCCTCTTCCTCCTTCTCCTCCTGCTCCTGCTCCTGCTCCAGCTCCTCGTCCTGGTCCTCCTCGTCGTCGTCTTCCTCCTCCCTGCCCTCTTCCTCCTCGTCGTCGTCGCCTTCCCCGTCCTTGTCACACCTGTTCTGTTGCTGCTCGATGGCGAGGCAGATGCTCACTACTACCATTCGCTGCTTGTGCTGGTCCGGTTGCTTCTTATCGATGCTGAACATTTTATATTGCTGCTCGATGGTGAGGCGAATGCTCACTGTTGCCGTTCGCTCCTTGTGCTCGTGCTGGTGTATCCTAGTGCTGCTGAGCATTTTCCGTTGCTGCTCGATGGTGAGGCGAATGCTCACTACTGCCCTTCGCTACTTCTGCTCGTGCTGGTGTTTCCTAGTGCTGTTTAGCATTTTCCGTTGCTGCTCGATGGTGAGGCGAATGCTCACTACTACTACTGCATTTTCAGCTGCTGCTCGATGGTGAGGCGGATGCTCACTACTATCGTTCGCTGCTTGTTTTCGTGCTGGTGTTTTCTACTGCTGCTGAACATTTTCCGTTGCTTCTCGATGGTGAGGCGGATGCTGACTACTACCTTTCGCTGCTTGTGCTCGTGCTGGTGTTTCCTACGGCTGCTGAACATCTTCAGTTGCTGCTCGATGTGAGGTGGTTTCTCACTACTACAGTTCGCTGCTTGTGCTCGTGCTGGTGTTTCATACTGCTGCTGAGTATTTTCTGTTGCTGCTCGATTGTGAGGCGGATGCTAAGTACAACTGTTTGCTGTTTGTGCTCATACTGGTGTTTCCTCCTCCTCCCTCCTCTCCTCCTCCTCCTCCTCCTCCTCCTCCTCCCTCCTCCTCCTCCTCCTCCTCCTCCTCCTCCTCCTCTTCCTCCTCCTCCTTCTCGTCTTCCTCCTCCTACTCCTCGTTCTCCTCCTCCTCCTCGTCTTCCTCCACCTCATCGTCGTCGACTTCTTTCTCGTCGCCCTCCTCCTCCTCCTCCTCCTCCTCCTCCTCCTCCTCCTCCTCCTCCTCCTCCTCTCCTCCTCCTCCTCCTCCTCCTCCTTCTCCTCCTACTCCTACTCCTCCTCCTCCTCCTCCTCCTCGTCTTCCTCCTCATCCTCGTCCTCCTCCTCCTCTTCCTCCTCCTCCTCCTCCTCCTCCTCCTCCTTTTCCTCCTCCTCCTCCTCCTCCTCCTCCTCCTCCTCCTCCTCCTCCTCCTCCTCTTCCTCCTCCTCTTCCTCCTTCTCCTCCTGCTCCCTGCTCCTGCTCCTGCTCCTGCTCCAGCTCCTCGTTCCTGGTCCTCCTCGTCGTCGTCTTCCTCCTCCCTGCCCTCTTCCTCCTCGTCGTTGTCACCTTCACCATCCTTGTCACACCTGTTCTGTTGCTGCTCGATGGCGAGGCAGATGCTCACTACTACCATTCGCTGCTTGTGCTGGTCCGGTTGCTTCTTATCACTGCTGAACATTTTATATTGCTGCTCGATGGTGAGGCGACTGCTCACTGTTGCCGTTCGCTATCCTTGTGCTCGTGCTAGTGTATCCTAGTGCTGCTGAGCATTTTCCGTTGCTGCTCGATGGTGAGGCAAATGCTCACTACTGCCGTTCGCTACTTCTGCTCGTGCTGGTGTTTCCTAGTGTTGTTTAGCATTTTCCGTTGCTGCTCGATGGTGAGGCGAATGCTCACTACTACTGCATTTTCAGCTGGTGCTCGATGGTGAGGCGGATGCTCACTACTATCGTTCGCTGCTTGTGTTCGTGCTGGTGTTTTCTACTGCTGCTGAACATTTTCCGTTGCTTCTCGATGGTGAGGCGGATGCTGGCTACTACCTTTCGCTACTTGTGCTCGTGCTTGTGTTTCCTACGGCTGCTGAACATCTTCAGTTGCTGCTCGATGGTGAGGTGGTTTCTCACTACTACAGTTCGCATGCTTGTGCTCGTGCTGGTGTTTCCTACTGCTGCTGGATATTATCTGTTGTTGCTTGATGGTGAGGCGGATGCTCACTACTACCGTTTGCTGCTTGTGCTCGTGATGGTGTTTCATACTGCTGCTGAGTATTTTTTGTTGCTGCTCGATTGTGAGGCGAATGCTAAGTACAACTGTTTGCTGTTTGTGCTCATACTGGTGTTTCCTCCTCCTCCTCCTCCTCCTCCTCCTCCTCCTCCCTCCTCCTCCTCCTCCTCCTCCTCCTCCTCCTCCTCCTCCTCCTCTTCCTCCTCCTCCTTCTCGTCTTCCTCCTCCTACTCCTCCTTCTCCTCTACCTCCTCGTCCTCCTCGTTCTCCTCCTCCTCCTCCTCCTCCTCCTCCTCCTCCTCCTCCTCCTCCTCCTCCTCCTCCTCCTCCTCCTCCTCCTCCTCCTCCTCTCTCCTCGTCTTCCTCCTCCTCCTCGTTCTCCTCCTCCTCCTCGTCTTCCTCCACCTCATCGTTGTCGTCTTCTTTCTCGTCGCCCTCCTCCTCCTCCTCGTCCTCACTCCTTGTCCTCCTCCTCCTCCTCCTCCTCCTCCTCCTCCTCCTCCTCCTCTTCCTCCTCCTCCTCCTGCTCCTTGTCCTCCTCCTCCTCCTCCTCCTCCTCCTCCTCCTCCTCCTCCTCCTCCTCCTCCTCCTCCTCCTCCTCCTCCTCCTCCTCCTCCTGCCCCTGCTCCTGCTCCTGCTCTTCGTCCTGGTCCTCGTCGTCTTCCTCCTCCTCCTCCTCCTCCTCCTCCTCCTCCTCCTCCTCCTCCTCCTCCTCCTCCTCCTCCTCCTCCTCCTCCTCCTCCTCCTCCTCCTCCTTGTCCTCCTCCGCCTCGTTGTCGTCGCCCTCCTGGTCGTTGTCACCCCTGTTCTGTTGCTGCTCGATGGTGATGCTACTCGATGGTGAGCGAATGCTCACTACTACTGCATTTTCAGCTGCTGCTCGAATGGTGAGGCGGATGCTACACTACTATCGTTCCCTTCTTTTGCTCGTGCTGTTTTTTCCTACTGCTGTTGAACCATTTCCTGTTGCTAGCTCAATTGCAAGCCAGATTCTCAAAACTACCGTTCAAAGCTTGTGGTACTCTTGTTGTTTCCTACTGCTATTGAACAGTTTTCCATTGCTGCTCGATGTGAGAGGCGATGCTCACTACTACGTTCGTTGTTTGTGCTCGTGGTGGTGTTTCATACTTCTGCTGAACATTTTATGTTGCTGCTCATGGTGAGGCTGTTGCGCACAGCTACTGTTCGCCGCTAGCGTTTCCTAGTGCTGCTTGAGTGGTAAGGCTATTGCGCACTGCTGCCCGTTTGCCGCTAGTACTCCCACTAGATGTTTCCTCCTCCTCCCCTCCTCCTGTCTCCTCCTCCTGCACCTACTCCCGCTCCTGCTCCTGCTCCTCCTCCGCATCCTCCTCCTCCTCCTCCTCCTCCTCCTCCTCCTCCTCCTCCTCCTCCTCCTCCTCGTCCTCCTCCTCCTCCTCCTCCTCCTCCTCCTCCTCCGCGTCCTCGTTGTTGTTCCCGTACTTGTCATCGTCGTCCTTATATTTGAAGTAATTACGCGCACCTTTTTGTTGCCTGGTGCGTTAGTTCGTTTATAACGACATGGAGACGCTTCGCTTCAACGAGGAAAGAAAATAATACGGCCCTATAATATCCATTTAATTAGCCCATGTGCATATGTTATAACCTTATCTTGTAAACATTTCCTTATTATGAGCCCATGCCTTTTTGTTTTTTCAAATGTACTTGATAAGTGCGAACATGTTCATGTAGGAGATATTACTTAGTACTCTGGAGGTGTAGCTGCACAACTGCGGAGGCTGCAAGTCGACTCGCGCCTCAAACCACAGTAACAATCAGATAGGAACATCCGTTTGTGCTGTGAGTGGCGAATGTGACGCGCATCGTCTTACAACATTTTTTTTTTTCGTTTTTTTATTCCGCCCGTACATTTGTACGTGTAAATCGGATCCACTCAGTTGACTCTCTTCCATTTTCAGATTAGGGTGTGGAGTTAGCTTTCCCTTTTGTTTCTCTCTGCCCTCCTTGTTACAAAACATTTTGTGGGAGGGTGGGTTTCAATCTCATCCACCTCTCCTCTCCGCACCAAACTCGATTCTCTCGCATTCCTCGCCTCGCCCTTCTCAGTTAGCTCACAACCACCTAATCCGCTGCCGTGTCATTCGCATTAGTAAGGTCTCAGTCCAGTGTTTGTTCGCGCGCCTTGCACGCTTCGCGCCCGTTAAATTGTCGTCGTCATGCGCGCCTCGCGCTGCTCCCTGCGCGGTGCTTTCGTTTATTCGCCCCGCGCTTTTTCTCATTTGCAGATATAGCGTTAGATGTCCGTTAAATCTGCAGCATGCGATGTCATGTCACACGGGTCGCTGCGCGGAGCGAAAGCGCGTGCGCGCGAGGTGGCTCGGTTGGACCTCACCGTCGAACGGTCGTGATATTGTCCTGTAGTGCAAAGACGCGTTTCTTCTCTCACCGCAGCAGCAGATGTTTTTCAACGCTTCAACTCTCCCATTGTTAACCTCCTCCTCTTTCTCTCGACTGCTCTTCTTCTCCCAGCGTCGCTCTCACTGGACGGTTTCACTAGTAGTAGCGTTCTATAGTCATTCCTCTAAATGCTCTTAGTAGCATTCTCTTAGCATTTTTATTTTTGTTTCTCTTAGTCATAAATCGTTCAGCAGCAGGGAGAATGGCGCGCGCAGCAGCAGGCGAATTGGCGCGCGCAGCAGATGGCGGAATGGCGCGCCGCGGCAGCAGATGGCCGATGTCACGCCGCTGACGGAATGGTGGGCGCAGCAGCTTAGGCCCCCGTGAGAGTTATTCCGCGTTCCAGCAGATGCTCCGGTTGTTTAGATGCGATTTATATTTATATTAACACGGTGAGATTATATTTTTAGCTAAAGTTTCCCTCTTCCCCGGCCCTTCCTCTCCTCTCCATGTTCTGCCTCCTGCCTTTTCCCGCCGTTTCCCGCTCAACACTCTCACCAGGCGCCTTGGACTTCTTAACTCGTAGCGGGTGCTTCCTGCTTCACTGCCTCCTTTTGTGTTCAGCTTTGCTCGTCCTATCATTTCTGTTATGTTGTTCTTCTTTCTTTGTTTTATATTTGACGGCAAATGTTCCTATCAGATCAGCACTTACCTCTCCCACTTACCTACCTCTCCCACCAGGCAGCGGCATCACCAGGCGGCGGATCGCGCGCCACGTGGTAGGCGGCGGATCGCGCGCCATGAGAGGCTCGGCACTGCCTGGTGAGAGGCTCGGCACTGCCAGCTGAGAGGCGTGGCCAAGTGCGTCTTCCGCGCTGCAGGCGCGGCGAGTTGCTTTTTTCAGCGCTGCAGGCACGGCGAAGTGCATTTCCTCGCTGCAGGCGTGGCGAGTTGCCTTTTCTCTCCGCGCCCCATGCACGGCTTAGTGCCCTTTCCCGCGCTGATTCCCTTCTTTTCCAGCCTTTTCCCGCCGCTTCCCGCTCTTGCCCATGGTTTTCCCATGGTTTTCCTTCCCGCCGTTTCCCGCCGTCTTCCTCGGTCAACTTGATCCCCTCCGTTTCCTGCTCGTTCCGCGCTGCAGGCGGCGCAATGTGCTCGTTCCGCGCTGCAGGCGGGGCGATGTGCGCGTTCCGCGCTGCAGGCGGCGCAATGTGCGCGTTCCGCGCTGCAGGCGGGGCGATGTGCGCGTTCCGCGCTGCAGGCGGGCGATGTGCGCGTTCCGCGCTGCAGGCGGGGCGATGTGCGCGTTCCGCGCTGCAGGCGGGGCGATGTGCTCGTTCCGTGCTGCAGGCGGGGCGATGTGCGCGTTCCGCGCTGCAGGCGGGGAGATGTGCTTGTTCCGCGCTGCAGGCGGGGCAATGTGCTTGTTCCGCGCTGCAGGCGGGGCGATATGCTCGTTCCGCGCTGCAGGCGGCGCGATGTGCTCGTTCCGCGCTGCAGGCGGCGCAATGTGCACGTTCCGCGCTGCAGGCGGGGCGATGTGCGCGTTCCGCGCTGCAGGCGGCGCAATGTGCTCGTTCCGCGCTGCATGTGGCGCAATGTGCGCGTTCCGCGCTGCAGGCGCGGCGTGTGTTGCTTCTTTCCTGATTCCCGCCCTTTTCTGCCGGTTTCCCGCCGTTTCCCGCGGTCAACCTTAACCCTGCGGAGAACGGCGCGTCGCGCGCTGGTGGAACCCCCTCCAGTTGCCCCCCCAAGCTCCGTGCCCCTCTTCCCCATCCCCCCCCTTCAGTTGTACGAAGAACGTATGACCGTGGCGCCGCCGCCCGCCTCTCAGCCAATCACGGATGGCCACGTGGCGGGGCAGGTGGGCAACGGCGCGGCGAGGAGAGAGGCACGAGGTGAGACCACTGACGGCGTCATCACCTCCTGTACTCCCCTCTCCTCACCTCGTCCGTCCCCCCGTACTCATCTCCTCTCGTCCTCTCTTCTCACCTCCCCTGTCCCCCGTACTCACCTCCTAAACGCGCTTGTTTTGTGCCCTCGTTATGCCTCCCCCCCTGACCTCCTTAATCCCCCCTCGCCTCCTCTTCCCCCCCCCAATCACCGCCTCTCTCACCCTCCACCCTCCCACCCCAGAGGTGGCTGAGGTCTGCCGGACTTGGCCTCGACGTCGGACGAGGTTCGGCTCGGCTCTGGTCTGGATGAGGCTCGGCCAGTGCAGTGCGCAAGGTACGTTGCTTGCGTTGCGTTGCAGTGCGCAAGGTACGTTGCTTGCGTTGCGTTGCGTGGTGAGAGGGAGGGAGGCGAGGGAGATTGCCTCCACACTCACCACCTCTGCTCCCCACACTCACCATCCCCCCCCACTTATCACCACTCTTCACCTTCCCCCACCACCGCTCCCCTTTATTCACCTTTCCCCACTGCTCCCCAGCACTCATCTCTGCTCCCCTGCGCTCACCTCTGCTCCCCTGCGCTCACCTCTGCTCCCCTGCGCTCACCTCTGCTCCCCTGCGCTCACCTCTGCTCCCCTGCGCTCACCTCTGCTCCCCTGCACTCACCTCTGCTCCCCTGCACTCACCTCTGCTCCCCTGCACTCACCTCTGCTCCCCTGCACTCACCTTTACTGTTCACCCACTTTTCACACCACCGTTTCCCCGTCCCCCACTGTTCACGCCATTGTTTCCCCGTCCCCAAATGTTCACACCACTGTTTCTCCGTCCCCCGTTGTTCACACCACGGTTTTTTCCCCACTGTTCACCCACCTTTTGTTCCCTCTGTTCCCTCTGTTCACCCCTCTGCCATCCCCGCTTGCTCGCCATGCTCCCCGCACTCACTCACTTGCTATGCCCTCCCCTCCCCCCACTCACTCATTGCCCGAAACATCCAGCCAGGTGAGAAGCTGCCACTCCTCACTCGTGGCATCCCCCCCCCCCCCCCCCCCCCCCCACTGTTTAACGAGGCGTCGTTACCTCTCCTGTACTGCCCTCTCCTCGCCTCGTCCGTCCCCCGTACTCACCTCCTCTCGTCCTCTCTTCTCACCTCCTGTCCACCTCTTCTCACCCTCCCCCTGTCCCCCGTACGTACTCACCTCGTAAACGCGCTTGAGATGTGCACTCGTTATGCCCTCCCCCCCTGACCTCCTTAATCCCCCCTCGCCTCCTCTTCCCCCCCAATCACCGCCTCTCTCACCCTCCACCCTCCCACCCCAGAGGTGGCTGAGGTCTGCCGGACTTGGCCTCGACGTCGGACGAGGTTCGGCTCGGCTCTGGTCTGGATGAGGCTCGGCCAGTGCAGTGCGCAAGGTACGCTGCTTGCGTTGCGTTGCAGTGCGCAAGGTACGTTGCTTGCGTTGCGTTGCAGTGCGCAAGGTACGTTGCTTGCGTTGCGTTGCGTGGTGAGAGGGAGGGAGGCGAGGGAGATTGCCTCCACACTCACCACCTCTGCTCCCCACACTCACCATCCCCCCCCACTTATCACCACTCTTCACCTTCCCCCACCACCGCTCCCCTTTATTCACCTTTCCCCACTGCTCCCCAGCACTCATCTCTGCTCCCCTGCGCTCACCTCTCTCCCCTGCGCTCACCTCTGCTCCCCTGCGCTCACCTCTGCTCCCCTGCGCTCACCTCTGCTCCCCTGCGCTCACCTCTGCTCCCTGCGCTCACCTCTGCTCCCCTGCGCTCACCTCTGCTCCCCTGCACTCATCTCTGCTCCCCTGCGCTCACCTCTGCTCCCCTGCGGTCACCTCTGCTCCCCTGCGCTCACCTCTGCTCCCCTGCGCTCACCTCTGCTCCCCTGCGCTCACCTCTGCTCCCCTGCGCTCACCTCTGCTCCCCTGCGCTCACCTCTGCTCCCCTGCACTCACCTCTGCTCCCCTGCACTCACCTCTGCTCCCCTGCACTCACCTCTGCTCCCCTGCACTCACCTTTACTGTTCACCCACTTTTCACACCACCGTTTCCCCGTCCCCCACTGTTCATGCCATTGTTTTCCCCGTCCCCCACTGTTCACAGCCATTGTTTCCCCGTCCCGAAATGTTCACACCACTGTTTCTCCGTCCCCCGTTGTTCACACCACGGTTTTTTTCCCCACTGTTCACCCACCTTTTGTTCCCTCTGTTCCCTCTGTTCACCCTCTGCCATCCCCGCTTGCTCGCCATGCTCCCCGCACTCACTTGCTATGCTCCCTCCCCCCACTCACTCATTGCCAAAACAGCCAGCCAGGTGAGAAGCTGCCACTCCTCACTCGTGGCATCTCTCCCCCCCCCCCCCCCTCCCTTGCCGTCCCTCCTCCACATGCTTTCACTCTCTGCACGTGCGTTCAAACCACACCCTGCTCATGCCACAAACCTATAGCCTTGCCATGCCTTCATTTATTACGCTTATGATGTTCTAGCACGCATGATAACTGCTTAACTAATTTCAGTGGTAGAATCTGTCTGTGTAGCTAGGATTGTAGGACTTGATATGTGTGCTTGTATGTATGGGCATGCCTACTATATAGCCATGCCCTGGCCTGGTCTGGTTTGGCCGGGCCTGGGGTGGGGAGCTCGGGCCCACGGGGTTTCAGCCTGGCCCCTGTTCCAGCAGCCTGCCGCCCGGTTACTGTTCCAGCCGCCCCTTACTGTTGCTGCCGCCCAGACACTGTTGCTACCGCCCAGATGCTGTTGATGCTCCCCAGACACTGTTGATTCCGTCCATACACTGTTGCTGCCGCCCAGGTACTGTTGCTGCCGCCCAGGTACTGTTGCTGCCGCCCAGGTACTGTTGCTGCCATCCAGACACTGTTGCTGCCATCCAGACACTGTTGCTGCCGCCCAGACACTGTTGGTGCCGCCCAGACACTATTGGTGCCGCCCAGACACTGTTGTTGCCGCCCAGACACTGTTGTTGCCGCCCAGACACTGTTGCTGCCGCCCAGACACTGTTGCTGCCGCCCAGACACTGTTTCTGCCGCCCAGACACTGTTGCTGCCGCCCAGACACTGTTGCTGCCGCCCATACACTGTTGCTGCCGCCCAGACACTGTTGCTGCCGCCCAGACACTGTTGCTGCTGCGCCCGGTTACTGTTGCTGCCACCCGTTACTGTTGCTGCCACCCGGTTACTGTTGCTGCCGCCCGGTTACTGTAGGGATAGGGGGGGACCATGCCCATGCCAGGGATTTTGGGGGCGGGTGTGGGGGGCTGTGAGGAGGATTGGGGGGTAGGGGGGCCTTAGGGGGCCTTGGGGGGCCTTGGGGGGGCCTTGGGGGGGCCTTGGGGGGGGGGGGGCCTTGGGGGGGGGCCTTGGGGGGGGGTCATGGGGGGGTTTCATCTCCCCTCTCGCTATTGTCACTCTCTTTATTGTCCACGCTCTGCGTTATAGTACCCCTTGTTTGCTCTTCGGTGAAGGGGGTGGTGGGCGTGGTGCTCACAGAGAAGGTGGGTGCATAAAGAGGCGGTAGGGGGAAAACCATTGATCGGTTTTGCCATCAGGGCCAACGAGCTAGTCTTGCACACCCCCCATCTGGTTGCACTTCCCCGTCTAATTCCTTCCTCTTCGCCTTCCTCCCTTTCCCCCTTCCCTCGTCCAGGTGGGGAGCGTGAGGTGGAGCACGTGTCCGGAGGAGAGCTGCAGCGCTTTGCCGTTGGAGTGGTGGGGGGGCAGCTGGGAGACAGACATCTACATGTTCGATGAGCCCTCTCCTCTTCCCCACCTAATCACCTATCCTCATCCCGATTCACCACTCCTTTCAGGTGTGGGAGCGTGAGGTGGAGCATCTGTCAGGAGGCGAGCTGCAGCGGTTGCCATTGGAGTGGTGGCGGGGCAGCTGGGAGACATCTACATGTTTCGATGAGCCTTCCAGCTACCTGGACGTGCGGCACGATTGAAGGCAGCGCAGGTCATCCGCTCGCTGCTGCGCCCCGACAGGTATGGTCAGTGGTCCGAACAGGTGCGATCAATGGTTGGTGGATAGAGCAAGGGAAGAGGGATTCAAATAGCTGGTCATAGCTGGTCATTTGTTTCATATTCCTATTCAATGCTCAAGTATTTAACACTGTTGGATTTGATTCAATAGCTGGTCATTCGGTTACATATTGACTCCCTTAGTAAGTTCTTGAACCCCTCGAAGGGAGTCAATATGTAACCGAATAACAAGCTAGTTGAACCAAATCCATTAGTGCTAAAATACTTGAACATCGAATAGGAATTGAAACCAGTGGTACGATATTGTTACCACCACTGCCCTTTCCCTTGCTCCCTTTCATTCCCCATTCCTCCATGCATCCCCCACCGTTCCAGATACGTGATTGTGGTGGAGCGTGACCTGAGTGTGCTCGACTATCTCTCCCCTTCATGTGCTGCCTCTACGGCAAGCCAGGGGCATACAGGCGGTTTTTCTGCGCTATCACCCCATGCACCCACTGCCCTGCCCACCTCACTCCCCATTCCATCATCCCCATCCCCCCCCAGATACGTCATTGTGGTGGAGCACGATTCTCAGTGTGCTCGACTATCTCTCGGACTTCATCTGCTGCCTCTACGGCAAGCCGGTGCCTACGTGGTGGTCACGCTGCCCTTCTCCGTGCGAGAGGGCATCAACATCTTCCTGGCTGGCTTCGTG